AGCAGGCTCCATGCAGGGAGCCTGATATGGGACTTGATCCCGGGACTCCAGTATCACGCCCTGGGCCGAAGGCAGGCACTAAACCACTGAGCCACCCAGGGATCCCTGGTGGCACTTTTTCTTTAAACACCCCTAGGGAGGGCCTAGCCCCTTGGGGCAGCCCTACCAGCCTCTACCAGCCTGGCAGCATTGCTTATGAGATGAAATCTGTTTGCCAGGGGGCCCTGGCCTAGGGCCTTCACACTCAAGAGAATGACTCTAGAGTGGTCGACCATAGACCCTAGAACAGGAAATTAGAAGAAGCATGATGTTTTCACACAGAAATCTTCCCTCAAATGGCCCTGCAAACACATCTGCCTTTTCTGAGCCGTGAGTATTCATGAACACCAAGCACAAACTTTGTGTCTTGTGCCTTCGAGGAAGAGCAGCAGCATTTTTACTGATGTACAGTCAGTAGTTCCAGGCTTGGCCCCCATGTGCTGGCTGAGCCTCACTCTCCTCGTCTTTCAAATGTGGGTCCCATAGCACCGCAGCCCCAGGGTCATCGATCAGGATCAGATAAAATGTGGGAGATGACAGAGATTTCATAAATACAGTTTGAATGCAGACTTCTAGAAGGCCCTCCCTCCCTGACCCCAATGAGCCAGCTCCTATTCACCCTTCAAAGCCCAATTCAAATGTGGACCTCTTTGTTTCCCAAATGTTTCCACTTTGGTTGTGCCTCATCCCAGCCTTTGTTTGCCACGGATGTCTGGTTTGGGGTGAAGGTGCTGGGATATTCTTTCCATGTCTCGAAGTAGGTTAGAAGAGCTGAGTGGGGGGTGGGCACCCTGGCCTTCTCCCCTATATATGATAGGCATATAGGAAATATTGAATTGAATGCCCAACATAGAAGTTCTGATCCAAAAGCCACTCTTTGTTAAGTGTCTGCGATATCCCAGGCCCTAAAATGAGTGCCTTCTCTGTATTCATCCTGTCAGTAGGTGCTGTCTGTAATCGCCACTGTACAAAGCAGGAGACTGCAAATCAGGGAGGCAGAGGAGCCTGCTCTGGGATTTGAACCCATCACCATAGTGCATGCACACAGCAAGCTGCTGCTTTGGGATTTCGGTGGTCAGAGAGGAGGATTCACACCAGGCTGCGTGAGGAGCCTTCATACTGCCTGGGGCAGGGAGTGTTTTTTCCTTGGCTTTGGATTCAGTCTTAAGAATTAATCTCTTGGGATGGATATGGGCAATGCTTGTTTCTATTAAGTCTGCTCAGACCCAGGGCTGAGAGGAGACTGGAAAACACTGCTTTCTGATTGCTGTGCTTTTCTGAGAGCTACAGGCTGCGCAGGGCTTCAGGAGGGTCATAAGCCAGCTGCTCCCGGACGGCATGAGCTCATGTGGGGAGACGTGATCAGCCGAAATTCAAGAGAGTCATTAAGAGGCTCTAGGTGGGGGAGGGCAGGGTCTGATTTGTGGGTTCGAGAACCCTCCCCCAGTGATGGTCTCAGGGAGGTGGGGGGCAGTGAGGAGGCTTGTCCACTTGTCTGGGGACAGGAAACACCCCAGGTGATGAGGAGGGATGGGGGCTGGATTTTGACCCAGGTCAAAGGGACAGGACTTGGTGGTCATGGCCCTGCGCTGCTGGTTGTCTAGGCCTGTGGGGGGCCCTTTCACAGGTCATCTGACCATTCGGACCATACTACATGGTGATAAGTGCACCCCTGTCTCTCCCACCAGGGAAGCTTCTCTTGTAGGGTAGGACTGGGCCGATGGCTCCCTAGGCTCCCACGAAATAGAATGAATGAGCATATGATGGTCCTATCGAAGGGAGAGGGGGAGACTGTGGAGGAGTCAAGCTTCAAAGGAGGGATGGAATTTCCTTTGTAGGATGGCTGCCTAGGTGGAAGGAGCTGTGGAGTGAAAGCCAGGAGGCAGGAACACCACTACAGCCTGTTCTGGCTGGAGGCCCAGAGTAGCTTGTGCGTGTGAGGGTGATGAGCCCTGGTTTCCCAAACAGGGAAGCCAAGGGCAGAGAGACCAACTGAAAGGTGTGCTTGGCAAGGTCCAGGCAGCCCAGGCCATCACCGCCTGCCTCCTGCAGGAGAACAGGGTCATATTGTGTCCATCCCAGGAAACACTTGCAGTTTTTTGACAGAAGGAGGAGCAGCGTTGGATGACATGTGTTCCCATGGTGGCCAGACTGTTGCCCTATTCCATGTGCACTCCACGTGCTGTCTCCTAAATTCTCACGACAGCCAGCAGGGTGGGGGCTGCCATCAACCCCATTTTCCCCATCAGGAGACTGAGGCCCAAAGTCCCCCAGCAAGTGTAAATGCTGGTGTTCACACCCAGGTCCGTGTGAGTCCAGAGCCCTGACCCAAGGCCCTGGCAGGACAAGCAGATGTGTAATGGGCATATGGCGATGGCCCTGGCCCTGCCCAGTATGAGGATCTGGTGTGAAGAACACTGTTCTGGGAGTCTGAAGACTCCGTGTGGCTTTGCCTCTCCCTGGGAAGGACACACGGGAAGAAGGAGATTCGAGGAACTGAGCTCCCTGATCCCACACTCTTTTTTTTTTTTTAAGATTTTATTTATTTATTCATGAGAGACCCAGAGAAAGAGAGAGAGGCAGAGACACAGGCAGAGGGAGAAGCAGGCTCCATGCAGGGAGCCCGACGTGGAACTTGATCCCGGGACTCCAGAATCATGCCCTGGGCTAAAGGCAGGCACTCCACCACTGAGCCACCCAGGGATCCCCCTGATCCTACACTCTTATCTCTAGAGCCTCACAGCCACCCTTCCAGGCAAGACTTGTCAGCTGTAACAAGCTACACAGAGGGGGGAAAGTGAGGCATAGAGAAGGGAGATGGCTGGCCCTGGCCATATGGTGTCTCATAGCTCTTAGTGTGGCCAAGGATGTGGTGTTTGGTCTGACAGGACTGTTTGCCTATGCTCTGGGCGAGTGACCTCGGGATAGAAGCTTCATACTTTGTGCCTCACTGTTCTCATCTGTAAAATGGGCTAGTGACCCCTACCCCTTTTACAAGACAGGATTGTGAGAATGTGGTTGATGCAGATGGAAGGGAGTTTTGCAAGGTGTTAATCTGACATGCTTACTCCCTCCCCAAAGTAGCCGGGTGTTTCTCACACCTTTTTATATCTTGGTACCACGGCTTGTGTCTGTGTACCAGCCCTCTGCTGATGGAGCTCCACCTTCCTCGCATAGCCTGCAGTCCTCTCTCCATAATCTCTCAGTGGGAGAGAGAGTGAGGGCCACGCTGTGGGGTAGGGCGTGGAAGGGGCCTATGAGGGGCCTGGACAGAAAGTGCTGGCCTGAGGCCAGGCGGCCCCAGCCCCCTTCCCGCTAGGTGGTGGGAGCCCCAGGTTCATGTTCTGACCCAGGGGAAGGCCCATACTTCTCCTGGGCTGCCACTGGGTGGGATGAGCTGCCCCCCAGCAGGCCTTCCAGTCCATACATGGTTCCATGGAAGCCAGGAAGGCTGTCTGGATGGGTCTAGAAGCTCCTGGGCCCTGGAGAGCTTGCCCTAAAGGTACCTGAGCCCCTAGCTGCTCTGTCTGAGCCTCCCATCTCCTTTTTTTTTTTTTTTTAAGATTTTATTTATTCAGTCATAGAAACAGAGAGAGAGAGACAGAGACACAGGCAGAGGGAGAAGCAGGCTCCACACAGGGAGCCCGATGTGGGACTCGATCCCGGGTCTCCAGGATCACACTCCAGGCTGCAGGCTGCTGCAGTTGCTGCTACTGCCAGCATTGCTGGGGCCCCAACTCAATACCCACCAGATCGGGGGACCCCACCCACTCCTGTAGAGCGAGCAACACCACCTCCAGGCATTATGGCTCCTCCACCTGGTATGAGACCACCTATGGGCCCACCAATTGGGCTTCCGCCTGCTCGAGGGACACCTATAGGCATGCCCCCTCCAGGAATGAGACCCCCTCTACCAGGAATTAGAGGTCCACCTCCCCCAGGAATGCGTCCACCAAGACCCTAGGATACTGTTGATTCTTCTTAAGTCCATTTTTTTCCTGCTATGTATCTTGTGAAACTGTGTGATTGTTTGTGAGCTTTTGTTCCCTCCTTGATGCATTAATATTAGCTAATAAATGCACAAAGCAATTAAACTGCAAAAAAAAAAAAAAAAGCTGTGCCACCGGGGCTGCCCGGCCTCCCATCTCCTTAAACAGTGTTCACTCCCTGCCTCTCTCAAGCAGGTCTCCTGCATGTGTTCAGTACCATCACTTGCTGTGCAACATCAGGCCAGTCCTCAGCCTTGCTGGGCTTGTCTTCCTGGTCCAGAACCTGAGGAATTCCCTCCATCTTGGCAAAATGGGGCACACACCATGCTGCTTGGCTTGGTCTGGGCCAGGCCGGCTCCGTGTGTGTGGACTGTGCAGAGGGGCTGCTGGTGGTAAAAGAGGGTGGCCTGGGTTCAAATCCTGCCTCAGCTGCCTGCCTGCCGGCTCATGACTGGGGCTCCCTGAGCTCCTTTCCTCCTTGGTGAAATGGAGACAGAATGACACCTGCCTCGTTGCATTGTTGCAAGATTCAAAGAGATTCTTATACAAAGTGCCCGCCCCAGCGTGTGGCGCTACGTTGTAGCCATAATTAGCTGCATCATTTTGCATTTTCTGTATCTCTTCTCCTTGGACTGAGTTGGCTGGGAAAACAAGCTTTTCTCTTGGAACTTGGGGTGTCTGGTGCGGTACTGCCGTCCGAGCCATGTGTGAGAACAGGCATGTGGCCTCCAGGCAGCCCCCTGCCCACCAAACCCACCACACAAAACCAGGGTCCAGCAGCACTGCGAGGAGGGCAGGAGCTGCGTGGCTGGGTTCAGATGGCCTTTGTCGGCCATGAGACCGGTCACTGTCCTCAGTGTCATCTGTGAAACGGGCTGCGTGTGGGAATGAGAGAGACTACGCCGTGGGGTGGGCACTGTGACCAGCCAGTGGCCCCTGCTGACTAAATGATAAACTGCTCTCTCCCCCCAGAGACTGATGGAGAGACAGAGACGGAAGGCGGACATCGAGAAGGGGCTGCAGTTCATTCAGTGAGTGTGGGGCAGGCTGGGCAGGCTGGGGCCTCTGACGACACTGCCCAAGGCCTGCACAGGCCTCCCCAGCTCCCCCTTTTCTTCCTGCTAAGCCTCTGCTGCCCAGGCTGCCTTGTGTGCTGGGGAGCGAGGAGGTGGGACATGCTAGGAAGGGGCTGGAGGGACCGGGGGGTAGATCGGTGACCCCCCTCCAACCAGGCACACACATTCCCTGACACTGGCCACCCTTCTGTCCTGCTCACTGTACCATTTTACCCTCACCCTACACATACGGAGGCACACATCCTATTAATTCTCCTGCTTACCTGTGTACATCCCAGGCTCTGTGCTGGGCTCTTCACATCCATTAATCCTCACAACAGCCCAAGGTGGTCTTAGTTCCATTTTGCTGAGGCTCAGAGAGGTTAAAAAACTTGTTTATGGTCACACAGCTTTATTTTTTATTTTTTAAAGATTTATTTATTTATTCATGAGAGAGAGACAGAGAGAGAGAGAGAGAGGCAGAGACACAGGCAGAGGGAGAAGCAGGCTCCATGCCAGGAGCCCGACGCAGGACTCGATCCCAGGACTCCAGTATCACACCCTCGGCCAAAGGCAGGCACCAAACCGCTGAGCCACCCAGGGATCTCCTCTGGTCACACGGCTTTAAAGTAATAGGATTTTTTTTTTTAGATATTTATTTATTTGAAGAATTTTTTTTTAATTTTTATGTATTTATGATAGTCACAGAGAGAGAGAGAGAGAGAGAGGCAGAGACACAGGCAGAGGGAGAAGCAGGCTCCATGCACCGGGAGCCTGACGTGGGATTCGATCCCGGGTCTCCAGGATCGCGCCCTGGGCCAAAGGCAGGTGCTAAACCGCTGCGCCACCCAGGGATCCCTATTTGAAGGATTTTTATTTTATTTATTCATGAGACACACAGAGATTTTATTTATTCATGAGAGACACACAGAGAGAGGCAGAGACACAGGCAGAGGGAGAAGCAGGCTCCCGGTGGGGATCCTGATGTAGGTCTCGATCCCAGGACCACAACCTGAGCCAAAGGCAGATGATCAACCACTGAGCCACCCAGCTGCCCCTAAAATACTAGGATTCTAACCCAGGTCTGGCTGGCCCATAACCCACATTTCTTTCCATTATTTGAGCTCCCCCCTCCAGTCTCCACATGCCATGTTTGGAGGGTTTTATCCCATTTTTCCCCTTCACACACAAAGTATTTTTACTAACTTTTTTCTTTTATTTCTCTTAAATAGATCCCAGAGGCACATTTATCATGACACTAATGAGTTAGCTGCAGGGTCCCTCACTCAAATGGGTCCTTTCCGAAGCCATGGAAGGTTCCTCGAGCAATTCTTTGTTTCTAATTTTGTGGATTTTTTTTTCTTAGATGGGAATCCCCACACAACTAGGATTTACATCTGTCTACCCTCAGATAAGCTCCCCAATTTTGTTTTCTCACACACCTGTAAAACACAACCTGCCTCTTCTCCACAGCCTGGGCCCTTTGTCACACACACGGTATCTACGATATTCTGATGGAGCTTGTGTCGACAGCCACACACTATCCTTCCCTCCACTTGCATCATGGTCACTCTGTCTTGCTTAGGCCACTGGGAGAGCTGTGGCCCACTATTCTCTCCTCTCTGGGCGGGTCTCCTTCCATTTGAGGGTACTGCTCAAATTTTATGCAGGGGCCAATCTGATGAACAGAGTGAACCTTGCAAATATGGTCTTTCTTTCTTCCTTTTTTCTTTTTTTTAAGACTTTATTTGCTTATTCATGAGAGATACAGAGAGGCAGAGACATAGGCAGAGGGAGAAGCAGGCTCCCTAGAGGGAGCCAGATGTGGGACTCGATCCCAGGACCCCAGGATCATGACCTGAGCTAAAGGCAGATGTTCAAGCACTGAACCATTCAGGTGCCCCAAATACTGTCTTTCAACAGAATTGTGTCTTCAAGTCACTGATTTCTGTGGAGCTGGACCTATGAGTCCTGCATCCTGGTTCCCTCACTTCCTGGGTGCTCTCCACACCTGCGAGATGAGATAGGCCCCTTCCCTCATGGAGTCATTGTGCTTGGGGTAAATGGTAGCTCAGTGTTCTCCTTCCCGTCTCCAGAGGGGAGTTCCCAGAAGGTTTAGCAATAGGACAGCCTCCTGGGAACCCATATGTTTGTCTCCTAAGGGATGGCTTTATAAGATAACACAGTAGGACGTGCTTCTTTTATGATTAACTGTCCTTTCACATATATAGACTTTGTGTGCTAAGCATTTATTAGGCACCTTTGGGCACCAAGCACTGTAACAGGGCCATAAAGCGGTTTGCACAGGTGGGGTGGTGCTGGCTTGTGTGGAGCCTTAAACATCAGGATGAAGTGACCTTGAGGTAAATAGGGAGCTGATGCTGGAGGTGGAAGGCCAGGTAGGAAGGTAGCAATGGGGCCTGACTAGGTGGTAGAGGGAGCAGTGATGGGCCCTGGTCCCGGCAGTGGAGAGTCAAGTGAGAGATCAAGATGGGAGCCCCACTGTCACAATCAGGGACACCTCCTCCCACACACACACAGGGGACCTCGGCATCTCCTCTCACCACTTCTCACTCACTAGTTCAGGCTGGTCTTTCTTGCCCAGGTGTTGACAGCAGCTCCGGGCAACAGAAGGAGTCCCAGCCCTGCACTCTGGCCCTGGCTCTAACACTGACCTGCTGTGTGACCTTGAGCAAGTCACTGCCCCGTCGGAGTGTGTGTTTTCCCTTCTGTGCCACGAAGGACTGGGAGACTACCCTTCTGGCTTAGCCATTTAGCGTGACAGATGTGCCTCCATTCTCCTGGGCTGTCATTTTCTTCTGCACTGAGCTGGATTTCGTTGGCCCCAAGTGGAGGAGAGGATGCCCACAGCCCCATCTGCTTTGTTGGGGCTGGCATGAAGGGTCAGGCTCTGAGAGTTACCTGGCATTGGCTGGGGGCATGCATGTTCTGTAGGAAGGGATGGGGGACCTGAGATTGACTCTTGTGCTACCTGGAGCCTGCATTTGCAGGTTTTGGTCCATCGAGGTGTGGTCATTCTCAGAGAACTGATTTCTTAGGATGAGGACAGCTGGCTGGAGCTGGAGCTGGCCTGTTCTGTCTCAGCATCTGAACCTGGAAAAGCCTGGCCATGGCTCTGGGGCAAACACAAGGCCTTCCTCCAACCCCCTTCCATCAGAAATGGAAGACGAACATGGTGTTGGTTTAGGGAGAAAAAACTGCCGTCCCCTTTCTAATCTGTGAGGTGACATCTGAGATCCGAGCTAGAGGAGTCCGCTCCTGGCATGATCTGTGGCCTTTGGCTCAGGCTACTGGAGCTTCCATGAGTCTGAGATGCCAGGGCTCACCCAGACTTTGTATCTCTCTCCTTTTCCTGCTAGGTCGACACTACCCCTAAAGCAAGAAGAATATGAGGTGAGTGTCAGCTGCTGGGCTGGGGGAAGGTGAAGGGCAGGGATGTCCAGGAGAGGGGGTGAGGTGTCTAAGCCTTGGGCTACATGGAGACCCCTGAGCCCCCTCTGCCCCCTGCCCCCTGGCAGGCCTTTCTGCTCAAGCTGGTACAGAACCTGTTTGCTGAGGGCAATGACCTGTTTCGGGAGAAGGACTATAAGCAGGCCCTGGTGCAGTACATGGAGGGGCTGAACGTGGCCGACTACGCTGCCTCCGACCAGGTGGCTCTACCCCAGGAGCTGCTGTGCAAGCTGCATGTCAACCGGGCTGCCTGCTACTTCACCATGGTGAGCCTGTCGCCTGCCCTTCCCCTCCAACTCTCCTCACTCTGACCAGCACATCCCCAGATGCCCTGCTGAGCAGGCTCAGCCAGGCGGGCACTCCTTGAGCCTCTGCAGGGCCACTCCTCCTCCTCTTCCTCCTCCTCCTCCTCCTCCTCCTCCTCCTCCTCCTCCTCCTCCTCCACCACCACCACCACCACCTCCTCCTCCTCCTGTGCGAGTCTCACCATCCACTCCCACGGCTCTCAACCCCAGCTTCACCACAGACTTCCCTGGAGAGCCTTTAAAGTACTGATCTGTGACAAACCGAAAATGGTTTGTCATGAGTCTCAGCCTCACCCCAGGTGAATTAAGTTAGACTGTCAGGGTAGCCTGGGCAGTGGCAGGAATCTGGACAGTCAGGGCTGAGAACCACTCCCCTCATCACTGCTGCCTCTTTCTGCAAATCCCTGGCCTTCCCTCTCCTCTCTCCTGGGCTCCGTCCCTTCCTGTCTCCCCCAGCCTCCCCCCCCCCCTTTTTTTAAGATTTTATTTATTTACTCATGAGAGATACAGAGAGAGAGGCAAAGACACAGGCAGAGGGAGAAGCAGGCTCCATGCAGGGAGCCTAAGGTAGGATTCAATCCCAGGTCTCCAGGATCACACCCAAAGACAGGTGCCAAACCGCTGAGCCACCCAGGTGTCCCTCCCCCTGCCCCCTTAAAGCTTGGGCCTCCACCTCGTCCCTGTCCTGCTTGCTTACTGACTTTGTCACTGACCACATCCTCCGGGAAACTCTGCTGTGAGCTCTGCAGAGGACCTAGTAACCCCTCTGCAATCCAGAGTGGACTGTTCTGGAAAAGCATGTGTCTACCAGATGCCTGTTCATACCATCTTCCGTCCCCTGAGCTGCCTTCATGATTCCCCTTGTTCTCAGAGGTGCCTTTATTACTCTTGGTCCACAGTGCTCTGAGCCCAAGGCAGATGTACAGGTAGATGAGTCTGAAACACCACACTCATCACTGTTAGAATTTGAAGGCCCCTCTACTCCAGGAGCCTGCCAGGGTGTGTTGGTTGCCCTCGACCAAGGAGTGAATGCCAGAGCTGTTTCTGGGGCTCTGGGGCCCCCCACCCCAACCCTGGTCCTCCAGCATCCTCCGTCTCTACAGGGAAGGGGGCAGGAGACCCCGGCTGGAGGGAGGGAATAGGTGCCCACCGCTGAGCCACCCACCCCTCTCTGCAGGGCCTGTATGAGAAGGCGCTGGAGGACAGCGAGAAAGCGCTAGGCCTGGACGGCGAGAACATTCGGGCGCTGTTCCGCAAGGCGCGTGCCCTCAGTGAGCTGGGGCGGCACAAGGAGGCCTACGAGTGCAGCAGCCGGTGCTCCCTCGCCCGGCCCCATGTGAGTGCCCCGCGGCAAGGGTCTGGGCTCTTGGCTCTTCCTTTTTTTTCTAGATTTTTTTTTTTCATGAGAGACACACAGAGAGAGGTAGAGACACAGGCAGAGGGAGAAGCAGGCTCCATGCAGGGAGCCCAATGTGGGACTCGATCCCGGGACCCCAGGATCACACCCTGAGCCGAAGGTGGACTCTCAACCACGGAGCCACCCGGGTGCCCCTCGGCTCTTCGGAGCCTGCTTCCTCCTCTGTGGCTCTTACTCTCACGTACGATAGGGACCCTGAGCTCTGGTTGTGTTTCAGGCACTGCTAAAAATACACCGTGTGTTAACTCACCTAATCCTTGCATCACCCCTTTGAGGTAGATACTCTTATTATCCCCATTTTAAAGATGAGGAGAAAAAAAAAATAAAGATGAGGAGACAGGCACCAACAAGAGATAGGAACTTACCCGAGATCACAGCTGGAGCTTACCCTTGAACCCAGGCAGTCCGATTCTAGGGTTGGCACTCTTAGCCTCTGTACTGTACGGGTACTGGGTGGCAGTGAGGACCAGTAGGGGTGCCACATGTGCTGGGATACTGATGTCCAGGCATTTACTAGGTGGGGGAGAGATGGAGAATTGACCTGTAGTGAGCCTTGCTTGCCCTGACGCACACACAGTGGGACACCTGCCCCCCTCCCCGTTTATTCATCCATTTAACAAGTATTTACTAAGCACCCACAAATTGCCCAGATCTGTGCCCTTCAGGGACCCACAGTCTGCTAGGAGATGTGAAAACAGTCCCCCCAGTCTAGGCCTGGCTCTACTGTGACTCCCAATATGACTTTGGACAAAACACTTCCCCTGTCTGCATATCGACTCCATGTCTATAAATTGCTCCTCCTACTTTATCTCTGAAATAATGAGTATGAAAGGGCTCAGAAAAGGCTCAATTCTGCCCCAAAGTGATCAGGATCTTGGAGGGCTCCCTCATGGGAGGAAAGTGGACTTGAGTGGGGCCAGAAGAAGCAGGAAGGATCTGGGTGGTCAGAAGAGAGGAGAGGCCGGGTGCACAGTGGTCAAGGACATGGGTGTCAGAGAGCTGGGTTTGGATTCCAATCTTGGGTCAGCCATTTACTAGCTGTGTGACCTTGAACACACACAGGTTAGTCTCTGTGAGCCTTCATTTGCACCCTTGTCAAATGGGGGTGATAATATGCCATGCATCACTGGGCTATGAGGATGGAATCCAAAAAATCATACCTCAAGGCAGTTGGCACAATAGCCAGGCATAGTAAGTTCAGAAAACATTCACTGTTACTATACTTTTTGTTTATTATTTGTGCTTCTCCAATTCAATTTAGTTCATAATTGAGATATACAGACAGTATATCTTTCTGTCTTTCTTTTTAAGATTTTATTTATTTATTCATGAGAGACACAGAGAGAGAGAGAGAGGCAGAGACACAGGCAGAGGGAAAAGCAGGCTCCCTGCAGGGAGCCTGATACGGGACTCAATCCCGGATCTCCAGGATCACGGGCTGGGCTGAAGGCAGGCACCAAACTGCTGAGCCACCCAGGGATCCCCAGTATATCTCTTTCTTATGACAGTAGTCCCTGAGATATACAGAATTTTCTAGTGTCTAGTATTTTCTAGATATACAGGTCCACATCCAAGTCTCATGTTTACCATTCGTGGGCAGGCAGGGTGGCATTTACCCCACTGTATGGGTGAGGACGCTGAGGCCCAGCGAGGCTGCTGACTTGACTAAGGAAAGTGCCCAGATGAGAACTTCTGACTACGAGGTGGGGGATTCCCCAGCTTTCCGGTCTTTGTTGGCAGATACTGGTTGAGCCCTGCTCTGTGCTGGGTACTGGGGACCAGTGATGACTAAGACTCTGGCCCTGGGCTCTAGGAGCTCATCAGGTAGGGAGGTAGACAAATACGTAGGATGTTATAACATCCCTGTGGCCCCTTTGCTACCTGGACCATGGTCCTACTTCTTTGTTTGCTGGTTGGTGTTCACAGCTAGATAGGAGCCTCCATGAGGCCCAGACCCTGTCTTCCTGTGACGGTGGTGTCCCTGGCTCCTAGCCCTTGCCTGGCACATAATGCACATACAGTAATACACCTTTGGAGGGAGGAAGGAATGCTGGGTGCTCTTACTGAGCACTAACTGTGGGCCAGCCATGTTGCAAACCTCCCACATTCTCGCTCCTATGAGCCTGGGCACCACCCACATGTCCTCCTTTGCAAAGAGTTCCAAGACATTGTGTGGTGAAAGAAGCAAGTTGTAGAACAATAGTTATAATATGATCTCACTTATGTAAAAAAAAAAAAAAAAGGAGAAAATCGTCACAAAGCAAAACCAAGCATCCTTTAGAGGTCCATAGGCACCTATGTAAATTCCTAGAAAAGGTCCATAGGGAAATAGTTCAGACCACAAGGCATGTTCCCTCTGGCGAGGAGCCTAGGGCGAGGATGGTGGTAATGCAGGGGAGCAGTTGCTCTCTCTGCAACATTTCAGCCCTCTACAGTGACACTACTACTTGCTGAATTTTAGAAATAAAAAAGATAATCTAAGAATCCAAAATAAAAATTATTCCTTTCCCCTTCCCACAGTAAAAGGAAAGAGGGAAGCATGAGTTCTGGTTCAGCCTGATCACAAATGAACTGTATGACCTGGTCAGCCAGTGACCCCTCCTGGGGCCTCACTCCCTTGTCGATAATGTGGGGGTAACTGCGGATATCCACCCCCCCCCCCCACTCCTTTGAAGTGCTGCTCAAGGTCTCCGGAGCATAGCTCTGTGAGCTAGGGCAGACTGACCCACTCTACCCTGCGTCTTGCTGTTGCAGGATGAAAGCATAACTCAGCTTGGTCAGGAGCTGGCTCAGAAGCTTGGGCTTCGAGTTCGGAAAGCATATAAGAGGCCCCAGGTAGGTGGGCTCTGGGCACTGAGGGTGGGTGGGGGTGCAGATGGGGAGGTCTGAGGGGGGACCAGGCACCTTCGGACAGAAGCGGGTGAGGGTGGCCGGGGCCAGGTCAGGACAGAGGGAAATGATCTTCCCCCCCTGTTACCTGAAAGTCCTGGACTGACTTTGAGAACCTTTTGGGAAAGCAAAGAATGGCCAAAGCTTCCATTTTACCTTAGATGTCAGCTGCTAAAAACCTGCTCCCCACGCCCTGGCCAACTTAAATGCCCCCAGAAGTGGCCTGAGTTGACACTGGTGTCCTTTGGCCTTATGTTCTCAAATAACCTCTGTATGGGGCATATTTGAGACCTTGGTATCTGGGTGGCTCTTTCAGATCCACATTTATTCATTTGGCACCTACCATATGCCAGGAAGCCGCACGTAGGAGAGGGTATGGCTCTAGAGTCGGCTGTGACCTTGAGCAGCTTAGCTCTCTCTCCCCTGTGGTTTCTACATCTGGAACATTGGGATAAGTATGTCCACTTCAGGGGGGTTCCTGGGAGGATCGCAATGAAAGAATGTTTGATGTGGCACCTGGCACACAGTAGGAACATGTGTGTGGAAGTCCTCTGCCTGGGTCCCCGAAAATGCCCGAATCTGACCCAGAGATAGGGCAGGTAACTTCCAGCAGGCCTAGGGGCAGAGGACCTTAGGGTACTACAGACCCCAGCTGCCTGTGTTGGGGTCCCCTCTGCTGCCCTGGCTAATGGGACCCTAAGTGTGTTTCCAGAATGTTCATCTCTTCCCACTTCTCTGATCTCTGCAGGAATTGGAAACGTTTTCTCTGCTCAGTAATGGCACTGTGGCTGGCATGGCAGACCAGGTAGGTGGGGGCCCGGACCCCAAGCCTCCCGCCCTGCCTCCAGTACCAGCCTATCATGAGAGCTTTGGATTCCCTCTGTGGGGTATACAGACCCGAGCGGTAGGTCCGGGGCCATCAGACCAAAGGGTTGGGCTCCATCTGTCCCAGTCCCCACTGCTGGGAGCCAGGCACCTGCCCTAGGAAGAGGGCATGACTGACAACCTGGGTCCGGGCCAGACTCAGGGACAGCTCTGGGACGCACAGCTCCTCCACCTCGTAGGAGAAGCCTCCTGTGACCACAGGGCAAAGTGTGGGGACAGGCTGTGGCTGTTGTTGGCAGGAAGCCTGGGTGGCCTGGTCCCAATTACCTTTCTGCTCCCCCCCCAACCCTTCCTGCTGCTGTTGCTTTGCTCCCCAATGGTCTTTCGCATCTAGGCTTCCAGGTCTCTGAGCCTCAGATTTTGAATCTGTGAAATGAGGGTGTTCTGTCCCTAGGCCAGAACAAGGGAGCATGCCCTGAGAAGTGTGGCACCCGAGGCAGCTATGAGAGGTGGCTGCTGATATCACAGCATCATCCTAGGTTTTAGATGTCCTCACTCCCAGGGCCAAGACCCTTGTACAACCCTGGCTCATCCCGGGGGTGCTGACAGGGGCCCAGTACACACGTTGGACTCTCCTACTGGTCACCACACATGCTCAGCTGGACTTTGAGGCTTTGGGGAAGACAAAGGACAGGCTGGTGGAGGCTGGAGTCCTGCCTCCTTGTTGTACATAAGGGGAGACAGAGGCACAGAGTGAGGAGCGGACTGTGCCAGCATCACACAGAGACGGCAGCAGGCCTGATTGCCTTCTGAGTGTTATAAGGCTTTCATCCGTTCACTCAGCAAACTCCCAGGGAACCCCTGGGCTGGGCACTGGGGCATAGCTGAGCTAGGCAGGCGCATCCTTGCCCTTGGGTCTTCCGGGTGCCAAGGGAAGCAGATGTGGATCTGCCTGTAGAACATTCCTCATGGATTAAATTTCTTTTTTTTAAATTTTTATTTATTTTATGATAGTCACACACAGAGATAGAGAGAGGCAAGGCAGAGACACAGGCAGAGGGAGAAGCAGGCTCCATGCACCGGGAGCCCGACATGGGACTCGATCCCGGGTCTCCAGGATCGCGCCCTGGGCCAAAGGCAGGCGCTAAACCACTGCGCCACCCAGGGATCCCTCCTCATGGATTATAACCAGAAATTTTGGGGGCCTGGCACATACTGGATGCTCATTAAAAAAACAAACAAACAAACAAACAAACAAAAACCATACACACACACACATATATGTGTATATAACGTTTTTCTTTTCTTTAAGATTTTATTTATTTATTCATCAGAGAGACAGAGAGAGAGAGAGAGAGAGAGAGAGACAGAGACACAGGCAGAGGGAGAAGCAGGCTCCATGCAGGAAGCCTGACTTGGGACTTGGGATCACGCCCTGGGCTGAAGGCAGTGTTAAACCGCTGCGCCACCCGGGCTGCCCAGTTTTTTTTTTTTTTTTAAGATTTTATTTATTTATTCATGAGAGAAACAGAGAGAAAGAGGCAGAGACACAAGCAGAGGGAGAAGCAGGCTCCATACAGGAAGCCTGTATAACATTTTTCTATAACAAAATGCCATGGACTGAGTATATAAATGACTTATAAATGCCTATAAATGACAGAAATTCATTTCTCACAGTTCTGGAGATAGGAAGTCCAAGGTCAGGGTGTCGGCAAATTTGGTATCTGGTGAGGACCTGCTTCCTGGTTCACAGATGGCATCTTCTAGTTATGACCTCACAAGGCAAAAGGGTCAAGGGAGCTCTCTGGTGTCTGTGAATCCCATTCATGAGGGTTTCATTCTCACAACCTCATTACCTCCCTAAGGCCACACCTCCTAATACTGTCACCTTAGGGGGTAGGATTTCAACATATGAATTTGACATACATTGAACATTTGACAGATATTTAGACCATAGCAGTGGACGAAAGACTGGAGAATTGTAAATAATTTCACAAGGCCTTAAGGGAGGGACTCCTTACTCCTATTACAAAGGAGAAACCAAGGCCCAAGCAGTTAGATGACTTGTCTGAATTCACTGAGCCTGGGGCTAGGTACGTGGTAAACAAAACATTCATGGGATCCCTGGGTGGCACAGCGGTTTGGCGCCTGCCTTTGGCCTAGGGCGAGATCCTGGAGACCCGGGATCGAATCCCACATCCCACATCCCACGTCGGGCTCCCGATGTATGGAGCCTGCTTCTCCCTCTGCCTGTGTCTCTGCCTCTCTCTCTCTCTCTCTCTCTCTCTCTGTGACTATCATAAATAAATAAAAATTTTTAAAAAAAATTAAAAAAAAATTCATAGTTCCTGCCCTCCAAGAGCTCACAGTCCAGGGTGAATGGATATTAGCCTGATAATTTCTGGTTATAAACCATCATGAGAGCTGTAAAGGCAAAGTGTGGGGAGCCGCAGGCCGTTGGAACAGGGAGGTTTGATTTAGATTGGGCATCAGTGACCTTTCAAATGAGACCTGAAGGTTGAGGAGTAAGGAGGGGCATGGTGTGCTGGTAAAACTGCATTTCAGACAGGGGATGGTATGTGCAAAGGCCCTGAGGCTAGGAGGAACTCAGAGTATGGGTGGGACCAAGTGGAGGGGAGGCAGGGCTGCAGTGGGGCTGGAATAATAGATAGAAGCATCTTGCACCTGGTGAGGAGCTGAGTCTTCATCAAAGGAGTGTTGAGAAGGCATTGAAAGGGAAGAGTATTGATTCTGTTCATTAATTCAGAAGGGGCTTATTGAGGGCTTCTATGTGCTCAGGATGGAGTTGATTGAGGTAATGGATATACAGCGGAGGGGAAAATAGCCAAGGAGCCCCACCCTTATAGAGCTTACATTATAACTGGAGGAGACAAAGAAAAAGTCATCAGTGATGTGGAGATGAGGGCTGGGGAATGCTGGGGCAATTGGTTGCAGTTTTAAACAGTGAACAGGGAAGGCCTCAATGAGAAAGAGACACTGGAGCAAAGACCTGAAGATGAGGGATGTGTCTTGAGGAGGTCTGGGGGGAGCTGGCAGAGAGAATGGCCATTGCAAAGGCCCTGAGGCAGGAGAGTGTCCAGTGTGTGGAGAGAACAGCCAGGACGCCAGGGTAGCTAGAGGGGACAGCTAGAGGCCAGGGTGTAGGACTCCTCTTTCCTCTTGCTGGAGGTGATAGAGAGGCAGGGGGTTATTCAGGCACATCTTATTCAGAGTTCTTGGATATCATTCCTGGAGCTGAAGAAACTGGGACTCCCATCCATTTTCTGCTGATAGTGGCTTGATTGCACCTTATAGAGCTAGGGTGGGGTGACCCTGGCTGGATACTTGATGGGGTGTCCCTGCTCCTTCCTTCCCCTCCCACAGTGACTGCCCTGATTAAAGCCACATCCCACTCTTCCAGGTCAGGTTGGCCTCCCCTTCCTGTCCCCCAAGGTAAACTCTGATAGCCAGGCCTCTGATCTCTCCTCAGCATGGAGACCCTCAGTGATTGTTAATTTAAGTGACTGTTTGAAAGTAATCAACTCCAGTTACTCTTGCCTGGCATTAGGCTCCCCAGCAGTCTAGTTCCCATGTCCCTGTCCATCTTCACGCACCAGACAACGTGCATGTATGCATATCTCCTGGGCTCCGCAACAAGCTCATGTGAGAGCAGGACTGTGGGTTCCTCTGTTCCATACATCCACATGGCACCACTTTGGAGTCAGATGGGTCAGGTCTCCGCTCACTGATGGCATGTCTCCCAGCTTTGGGTTCCCCTCTGAAAGACATAGATGATGGTGCTCAGTTCCCGGGGTGCTTGTGTGAATGACATGAAGGCAGGCATGGGAAGCCAGCAGCCTGGCACCCGGGGCAGGTTAGGGGCCCCTCCCCATCCCGTTCCAGCCCAATGCACACATCTTTCCTCGGTGTCAGGGCTGGGGGAGTCTCCAGGCTCCTCTCAGGCTGGTGAGTGAGGGCACAGCGAATCTGCTGCTCGTCACAGCAGGCAGGGCCATGGCAAATGTGGCTGGGTGCCCAGCTCCACAAAGACCAAACCTCAGTGTCCATGGAGTCTGCAGCCTGGGGGCCACAGATGGTGGCACCCATGGCAGTGTGCACCCAAGCTGCTGCCAAACTGTTCACCCATCCCTACAGCCACGCTGGGGCCCCCACCGCATCCATAAGGGCCAGGGCTTGTCATGGGGATGGGGATCTGGGAGGAGCCCAAGCAGAGGGGACTCTACAGTGGAGACCAGGTCAGATCCTGCTTCACTGGCCAGCATGGTGCTGCACATGTGCACACACGCATCCACACACTTCCGTATCCACATACCACGCACACACACATCCATAGCCCACACTTACACATCCACAGTGGTCTAAGGATACACGGAATGGAGTATGGGGAGTGTGTCAGCCAGATCCCCTGCCCTGGAGCTTTTACACAGACATTGTGTGTGAGCCTGGCCGTAGGCATCCCTACAGGGCTCTCCAGCAGGGGAGTCCTGGTCCTTCAGCCAGTCAAGCACCCCACACGTGTGCCTCGTAGTGGAGACTCATGAGCAGCACCCACAGGGAGCTTCCTGGGACCTGGGGATGAGTCGGGCATGCAGGGTGCCTGTGCTGGGGCTGCGTCTCGCCAGTGGGAGGGGCACAACACAAGGAAAGCTGTGACTTCTAGGAACACATAGAACCTGAGGCGGCCTTGGGTGGAGAGGACTTCCCAGAGCCTGGGTGGCAGGATTCAGGCAGGTGGAGAGGAGGGAGCAGAGCTCAGAGCCAGAGGACCTGCTTGAGCATGGGCCTCGGGGCAGGAGAGGGAGACTCGTACCCTCCGGGACCACAACACTAATTCTCCCCATGGGGGTTTGGAAGAAGCTGGGCTTTGTAGCCAGGCATGCGTTTAGGTTCAGGTCTTGAGTCACCCTTATCTGAAGCACCACTCCACCTCTCAGGGAGCTGCTAGTGCCTGCCACTTTGTGGTGGCTGTAGGGTGACAGTGAGTCACATATGAAAGCCACTGGCACAAGGCCTCAGAGAGGAGGTGCTCCGGAAACCTCGTTGCTGTGTGAGTGTCATGAAGCAGGAAACGGCAGGGAGAGAGGAGCCAAGCAAGATGGGCTGGAGCTGGGTGATGGGCAGGGTGCCTGGGGGCCGTGGACAGCACTGGGCAGGGAGATGCACAGCCATCCCTAGGGATGCTCATCTGGCACCTCTTTTCCCACCTTTCATGTTTCATATGCTTACCTGTGAGAGCAGCAGCCCTGACCCAGCATGGCAGCCCTGGTTTGTGCAGACACCCCCTAGGACACTGACCTGCCCATCTTTGCCATGCAGGGGCCAGGCACCAGGGCATGAGAGGGTGTTCTGTGCAGGGGAGGGGAGGCAGCACAGAGGCCTGGGGCTGGGGTCGGGGCAGACTCCCAAGGCCCCAATCAGACAGCCACTCTCTGGCCCAGGAGTAGCAGCTTCCCTGGACCAACATCCCTGTGGGTGAAGGGACAGCACCTGGTAGGGCATCTGGATCAAGGGCTGAACTCGATTGGCCATGAAGTGCTGGCCCGGCTGGCATGAGGCAGGGCACTGGGTACGTCTGGTTGCTGTTAGTGCCACCATGGATCCACGGGATAGGATGGCTAAGGAGTGAGGCCCTGGTCCTCCTGCAGCTGTCGGCAGGTGTGCAAGGGAAATGGGGTCACTCAGGGCCCTGCCAGGGAAGGAGGACTTCAGCTGGACCATGTAGGACTCCGAGAAGGGGAGGATGTGCCAGGATTGAGGAATTACTCAGGCCGCAGCCAGCGGAGCACATGGGACATGGGGGAGGCCAGAATGTGGAGGCTAGTGGACAAACACCCAGTCCATCCAGGCCAACTCCTGACAGGCACAGAAAGCCCTTCCTAAGGTCTACGCAAACATCAAAATGATTTAAAACTGTCCTAGAAGGCCACGGAGCAAGCCCAGGCCCAGCTGCCCCTCCAACAGCAGGTCCACGGGTGGTGGTGGGACTCCGCCTGGGCTCATTCAGCCTGGGGCTGTGACAGGGGAGGGGACACTGGTGGTTTCGAGGCATGGCACTTTTGTCTTTGAGCTGCAAACTATCCATGCAGGGCACAGAGTAGGAGGGCCAGGTAAAACCCCCGCCACCCTCCCCAGGGTGTGGACCCTATCCTGTGATGGGTAAGGAAACTGAGGCTCAGAGGTTAGATCTCTTACCCCCGGGGCTGCCCCTCTAGAAAGGGGCAGATGTGAGGCTTGTCTGGCTCCTCTCCCCTGCCCCCTGGCCCCTGCCTGTCCAGTCCTGTGCTTAATTCCAGCAATGGTCCCTGGGGTGGGGGTGGGGCGGGCACCACGGCCTTCCTAGCCCACATCTGCCCAACCCCCTGTGTCCTTCCTCTCCACAGGGAACTTCCAATGGATTGGGGTCCATAGATGACATCGAAACAGGTAGTGTCCCTGATTTGAGGGCCCGGGGTAGAGATGGGTCCCCGGGGAAGGGGAGGCGGGGTGGTCACCCCTCACAGCCGGAACCTGAGGGTTCCCTGCCCTAGCGACTCCCTGCAGCATGAAAGAAGATAGTGGGTTTGGGAGAACATGCTCCCTCTCAGGCAGGAGAGGGTGAGGGCCTGCCACATAGCAGGGTAGCGCTGCTCTCGTCTCCTCCACTCCAGGCCAGTGCCTCCCCCTACTGGGAGTCCCCTTCTCTCCCTCACTGGCTTCCAGGGAGGGTCACGCTTACCAAGCATCCCTTAGGGAGACCGTTGCTTCCCCCAGGTAGGATGTTCAGGCACTGAGCCAGGCCCCTTCAAGAAATACTGTGGGACTGAAGGACCCGCTCCTGCTCGGCAGCGGCCGGCCTTCATTCTGACTGAGCCTCCAGCCCTGGAGTCAGGCCAGCAGGGCAGGCAGGGTTCCTGACAGGAGCTGGGGAATGGAGGGAAGGTGTTGCGTGAGGACCTGAGGGCCCTGGAACACCTCCTGTCCGTCCCCCCCACCCCCGCCTCTGGGGGCTGCTGATCCCACCTTCCCATCCACAGATTGCTACGTGGACCTGCGAGGCTCCCCTGCCCCGCTCCCCTCTGCCCCCACAATGCCCCTGTTCCCTCACGTTCTGGACCTGCTGGCCCCCCTGGACAGCAGCAGGGCCCTGCCTGGCACTGAGAGCCTGGACGACTTCTCTGATGGGGATGTCTTCGGGCCGGAGCTGGACACCCTGCTGGACTCACTGGTGAGCTGGGTTGCTGCCCTTCTTCTGCTCCCCCGAGCCCCAGCCCCACCCAGAACCCCCACACATTCATCCTCCCGTCCCACCAGGGGTGGAGGGAAGGTCCCATCCCCATGTCACAGTTGGAGAAACTGAGGCCTGAGGAGGGAAAGGGACCTGCTTGGGGTACAGACGTGAAGCTTGAGAACCCACAACCAGAGGGACCATGAAGATCCCTGGCTCCTCTCCTGGGATGGGTTGGGGCCTGAGGTACAGAGGTGTCACCTTGCCTGGGACCTGCAGTACCTGATTCTGCCCAGGCCTGGGTGGTCAGGTTCTCCTCCAACCTCTCCTTCTGTTCCCCACCTCACAGTCCCTGGTCCAGGGTGGCCTGCCTGGCAGCGGTGTGCCCAGCGAGTTGCCCCAGCTGATACCCGTGTTCCCCGGTGGGACCCCACTGCTGCCACCTGTAGTGGGCGGCACCATCCCCGTCTCCAGCCCACTGCCCCCTGCCTCTTTTGGTCTCGTCATGGACCCCTCCAAGAAGCTGGCCGCCTCCGTGCTGGATGCCCTCGACCCCCCAGGCTCCACACTGGACTCCCTCGACCTGCTGCCATACTCGGATACCCGGTTGGATGCCCTTGACAGCTTTGGGTCGACCCGCAACTCCCTGGACAAACCCAACTCCTTTGTGGGTGAGGCCTGGGTGGGCACCTTCACCCCCACCCCCTTGACAGTTTTCAGAATGCCACCACATCTCCAGTCTTTGGGGAGTGGAGTTGGGATTACAGTTCAATTCAGCCAAAGCCCAGGCCCTCTCTCCCCATAGTGGTCCAGGGCCACTGCCTCTGAGTTACCGTGTCTCCCTCAGTGCTCGGCCCAGGGTGGGGCTGAGGCCAGAGGGGCTGGGTATCTTGTTCAAGATCAAACAGCAGAGCTGGGACTCACAGTATGGTGCTCTCCGCCCAGCCTTCTGGGGCCCTGGGGTCACCAGGCTGGTAGGATCCCATGGGAATGATAATAAGGCTGGGGGAAGGACTATAAGGCCACAGGCTCACTCTGCCTCACTCTGATCGGGGTGCCAGGGACCCAGAGAGGAAGCAGACCTGTCTGGGCCTTCGCAGGACCAGCTTTCAGACAGTCGGACCTAGGCCAGGGTGCTCATGACTCGGGGATTCACGAGGCTACAGGAGTACAGATATGCTTGACTCAGCCCTGGGGCTGTGGGAGACTTCCTGGAAGGCTGAGCAAAGTCTTTTTTTTTTTTTTTTAAAGATTTTATTTATTTATTTCTGAAAATACACAGAGAGGAGAGAGAGAAGCAGAGACACAGGCAGAGGGAGAAGCAGGCGCCATGCAAGGAGCCTGACGGGGACTCGATCCCAGGTCTCCAGGATCAGGCCCTGGGCCAAAGGCAGCGCTAAACCGCTTGAGCCACCCGGGCTGCCCTGAGCAAAGTCTTAAAGGAGACAACCCTCTGCTGACAGAGGGAGCAGTATGACACAGGCTTGTGTGAAGGCTGGCCGCTGAGCAGAGTAGTCAGCCAGAGGGGAGGGTGGCTTGGGTGCCTTGAAGCCCTAAAGCTGGTGTCAGGACCTTTGAGCTATGCTGAGAGCTTGGGCTTTCTTCCAGGGGCAGTGGCGGCCGTGGCAGGTATAAGGACAGGGTGCACATGCTCGGGCTGGGACATCGCTCTGTCCCTGGGCTGTGGCCTTGAGGGTAGAGTCAGGGGGTCAGCACACATAGTAGAGGATCTGTGGCCTGCGTGGTTTCTAAAGTTAGAAATGCATACGAAAAAGTCCCCAGAGGACTTCTCACCCCTTTAGAGCAGGGCAGGTGACCCCTGTGTCTTCTTGCAGAGGAAACCAACTCACAGGACCATCGTCCCCCAAGTGGTACTCAGAAACCAGCCCCCTCGGTGAGTACTTGGTGCAGATCCATGACCAGGTACCTTGTGCCCTCCCAGGGGTGAAAGGGAAGTGGTGTGGGTTCTAGAACAGAGGTGAGCCTTCTGTATGGGATGATGTGCTGCATCCCCCAGACACACCCTCAGAATGGGTGGGCCAGAGGTTGCCTCTCCCTGGCTCTTCCAAACTGAGCCACATGCTGGGAGGGTGAGCTGAGGGCACAGCCCAATCCTTGTCTGACAGAAGAGGACATTGAGGCTCAGAGGGGTTAAGGAACTTTTCCAGGGCTAAGAACATCCCATTCTCTAGACTCAGCCAGTTCTGAGTTTAGGAGAGCGCTTGAGCAGGTGACAGGCAGCCTGTGCTCTGCACTCTATGCCTAGCCTAGACACTAGCTGTGTGGCCCCGGGAAGTAACCTAACCTCTCTGAGCTTTGCCTTCTTCCTCATCTGCTAATGCCTTGGGGGCTTAGGAGATAGAGGCTGGGAGTGGGGAGGGCATGCGCACAGGACCCAGTTGAGGCCATTCCTGTTTCTATGCTTTTATGTTGGGCTTTTGCTCAAAGGAAAGGTTGTAGGACAAGATCACTGTCACCCATGCACCCCCACTAGGCTGATCCAATCCCGATATTATAGATTCTGGATCGTAGTATATGGAATTCCCTGGCTGGGAGGGTAGGAGAAAGGGGAGGGTGCTGGGCTATAGTTCTGCTCTTGGGTAGGATTGGCGGGGGAGGTCATAGAACCCCCCAACCTCTGGAGGGAGTCCAATGCCCAAGATGGCCAACCTCCTCCCATCACAGCCAGAGCCCTCCATGCCCAACACCGCCTTGCTCATCAAGAACCCCTTGGCTGCCACCCATGAGTTCAAGCAAGCCTGCCAGCTCTGCTACCCCAAAACAGGTAATGTCACACCTTCATTCCTCCACCCCTCTGCCCAGAGATACTGGGAATCTCAAGAGTGTAGCATCCCAGAATGACAGACCCTTAGTGTACCAGTCAGAGATAAGTGCAGGAAAGCAGGAGCCCCTCTAGGTATTTTGAACAGGTAGGAGTGAAAGTACAGAACAGGGGAGTTTGGGGCTGCTAGAAAGGCTGGTGGAGCGGAAGCTGGGAGCCTCCACTGGCCTCTAGGCTGCTCCTCCACAAACCAAGGACCAGAGGCGGGTTGTGCTGCTCTCACACAGAGGTCAGGGGCTGCTGGACCTTCTGGCCCATGTCATAGCCACCCACAGTCCAGAGGCTGGTGCCTGGCCATAGAGTGGAGTCCAGCTGGCTGCTGCAGAAACACGTTAGCCAGAGGAAATGCAGCCCACACCTCGTGCCACCTCTACCTATCAGTGTATCTCTCCCCTGAGTGCGTCTTCCTGGATGAATGCAAACCTTACCTGGAACCTGGATGGCAAAGGAGTCTGGGCAGTGTATTTCCTAGAGTGCCAGCCCCCAAATCCAAGGAAAGCTACAGAAGCAGTTCAGAATAGATGGCCCCTCCCGGGCAGCACTTTTCAGTACACCTGGAATCTCAGAATTCTAATCTAAGACTCATTTGCCAGAATCCCTGAGGTTTTAGTGCAATATTGTTTTAGGATGCCAGGGTTAAAAATTTTAGCAGTCTAGAATTCTCCATCTCAAGTGTACTAGAGTTGACAGGACCTTAGAGGGTGTCTAGTTGTTGTCATCCACCCACTGCAGGACCTTCTCCTTCATCCCCCTGCCACATACGTGTCACCCCTGAAAGCCATCCCACCAAAGCTCCCATGGACTTGCAGGGGCGGGGAGCAGGGCACCATCTTGTTGGATGGGTTTGCCCGTGATGAAGTTCTTCCTCACATGGACCTCAGACTGCCTCCCCAGTCTGCATACCCGCTGCCTCTGTGCTGGGAAAGCTGACTAATGCCACATGAATTGCTACACACCTGGTGCTGGCACAGCCAGATCACAGGTGGGGGTCCCCACAAGGACTATTTCCCCATCATCAGAGGAGAGGAGGTTCTGGGTCAGAAGACTTGGCAGAAGCAGGGAAGGGAGGATAAATCCAAACAGTGCCTTTCCAGGCAGGACAAGAAAGGGGCAGGTCTGTTCTCTGCTGGGCGCTGTCTTCATGACTCCTTCTAGGGAAACACTGAAACATCTGGCTTGCTGGAGAGTCAGAGTGGTGATGGAAGGGGAGGGCAGGGCAGGTGCCTAGAAGGGAATCCTTGGAGAGGGTCTCTCTTCAATCTGGGCCCCCTGTCCCTAGGGAGCATATGGCTAGGAAGGGGGTGGCAAGAATGGGCGGGAGGCCCAGCTGATGGAGGTGGGGTATTTTTTCTTTTTTTAAAGATTTTATTTATTTATTCATGAGAGACACAGAGAGAGAGAGAGAGAGAGAGGCAAAGACACAGGCAGAGGGAGAAGCAGGCTCCATGCAGGGAGCCTGACGTGGGACTCAGATCCCGTGTCTCCAGGATCAGGCCCTGGTCTGAAGGTAGTGCTAAACCGCTGAGCCACCCGGGCGCCCCTTGGAGGTGGGTTTTGAGGCAAGGCTCTGAGTCCCGCTACTCAGGCCCATCAGCCGTCATCCTTCAGTTCCACACCTGAAATCGATCTCTATCCATGTGTCCCCACAGGGCCCAGGGCAGGAGACTATACCTACCGCGAGGGCCTTGAACACAAATGCAAGCGGGACATCCTGCTGGGCCGGCTCCGGAGCTCTGAAGACCAGACCTGGAAGCGTATCCGGCCCCGGCCCACCAAGACCAGCTTTGTGGGCTCTTACTACCTGTGCAAAGGTGGGTGGGCTACGGCAGTTAGACAAAGGTGGCATTCATCGAGGCTGAATCCCACATCAGAATGAGCATCAGGCTCCTACCTTGACAGCTCCATAGACTGGGGGCAGGGGTGGGGTGGCGTGGGGATAATTCGGGATGTTCCATCCCAGCTGAAGCCCCTACTGAGTGTGAGGGTCAGCCAGGTCCCGGAAAGTAGGGAGCCCGATGTAGGGCTCAATCCCAGGACTCTGGGATCATACCCTGAGCTAAAGGCAGATGCTCCACCACTGAGCCACCCAGGCACCCTGATCAATATTAGCTTTTAAAAACTATCATGTTGTCATCATCCCCACTTCCAGTTCATGTCAACGTGGCCAGTATTTAGTGGACGTTTGTCACGTACCTTATTTGCTGTCTTTGATTTCCCAATCTACATGGTGCTGCGTGAACAGTCACGACATTGTTGAGTGCTTTAGAGTGTCACTCTTCTTTTTTTTTTTTTTTTTTTTTAAGATTTTTCATTTACTTATTTATGAGAGACACAGGCAGAGGGAGAAGCAGGCTCCGTGCAGGAAGCCTGATGTGGAACTCGATCCCTGGCCCCGGGATCACATCCTGAGCCATAGGCAGCCTGAGCCACAGGCAGATGCTCAACCACTGAGCCACTCAGGCATCCCAAGTGTCACCTTTCTGTCCCTACCATCACACATCCTCATAACTCTGGGCTAGGAAACTGAGGCCTTTATCTCCCCAGGGGACAGTAGCCCTGGGTTCCCTGGGTCAGCTCTCTGTCCTTCCCACAGGATCTTAAGGATATGTCACTTCTGGGCTACAAGGCCTCGGTCAGCTCTCACCTGCCCAGTGTGGAGGAAGTCCAAGTTCTCTGAGGCTTACAAGTCCCCCATCTATCCTAACCGCTCCCCAAACACACAGAACCCTGACTCTTTTTTTTTTAAAGATTTTATTTATTTATTCATGAGAGATGAGAGAGAGAGAGAGACAGAGAGAGACAGAGAGAGACAGAGAGAGAAGCAGGCTCCATGCAGGTAGCCCAACGTGGGACTTGATCCTGGGTCTCCAGGGTCACGCCCCCTCGGCTGAAGGTGGCGCTAAACCTCTGAGCCACCTGGGCTGCCCAGAACCCAGACTCTTTTGCACATTCCCTTGAACTTGATTAAGCAGCGCCTGGGATCTTGGGAAGCCATTCCCTACAGGGCTCCCCACTCCCTGGGTGCAGAGCTGATTCCAGCACAGAGCAGTTGGTGGTGATCATCTGTGTATCAGCTCCCTCATCCTGGCAGAAGGATGGAGTAGGGCATCTTAGAGAGAGTGTGAGCAAGGGGAGGGAAAGAAAAAGTTTCGACCACCAGGGCTCCAGGTTGTGAGCCTGCTGCCCTCACAACTCCCTGGTCCCCAGGGTTGTTTTGTTTTGTTTTGTTTTGTTTTGTTTTGTTTTGTTTTGAGGGGGTGTTGTTTTGTTTTTTAAAGTAGGCTCCACACCCAACATAGGGCCCTGAGATCAAGAGTTGCATGTTCTACCCCCTGAGCCGGCCAGGCGCCCCTGGTCCCCAGGGGTTTTATTTATTATTCCACTTACTTCCCACAACAACCCAGTGTTCTCTGTTTATGGGACAGACAGCTAAGGAATAACAGGGAATCCCAGCCCAAGTCTGCCGGATTCGAAGGCCCAGGCCCTTAACTAAGGGCATTTTCCTGGTGAATAATCAGAATGAAACCCCTTGTGTTTATTTAGAGCTTGTATTCATCTACCAACCCCCTCATCCCACCTCTTATCCTACCCCAAGCACATAAGGCAGCTTTGTGGTGGGGGTAGAGGGGTGTGACCACCTGCCCTGTAGCTGGAACACACAGGTCCCCCCACCCCCACAAGGTGCAGGGCAGAGAAGCGACCTGGCCTGGGAAGGGCCTTCCCCATCTCTGCCCCCCGCCCTCCCAGGTCCCAGATGAGCACCCCTGCCCCCCTGAGCGCCCCAGCCCACCGCGGAGGAGCTGAGCGTGAGCACCTCCTGCGACCGCGGTGTCCCGGGGGCTCCATGGGCTGCCGTCCCGCCTGGCAGAACGTGTGTGTCCTGTTGCCTCTTTGCAGACATGATTAACAAGCAGGACTGTAAGTACGGGGATAACTGCACCTTCGCCTACCATCAGGAGGAGATCGACGTGTGGACAGAGGAGCGGAAAGGCACCCTCAACCGCGACCTGCTCTTTGACCCACTGGGGGGCGTCAAGCGCGGCAGCCTCACCATCGCCAAGCTCCTTAAGGAGCACCAGGGCATCTTCACCTTCCTCTGTGAGGTACCTGCCCGCCTGCCTCCTCTGCGGGCCCCGGCACAGCTGGGGCTGGGGTGGGCCTCCCGGGCTCGAGAGCCTCTGAAGAATGTCAGTAGTGGAACCTGGGGGTTTGGGGGACCTGACTTTAGAACCCGTAGGTCCTTGCACTGTCAGAAAGGCCTGTGGGACCCTAGCTTGCTAAGGAAAGAGAGATGATCATATCCACTCTTTCCTGATGGCCATCAAAGGCCAGGCTGGGTGCCAGGCACTGTAGGTGCTCATCCTCCCCACACCTCCTCGTCTAGCTGTGTTGGCTCCAATGCCCATTATACCTTCCTGCCCACCGCCCTGCCTGTATCCAGGCCATCCCTTCTCCCTGGAGCGCCCTCCCTGTGTTCCTGCATCTTGGACCCTCTAAGACTCAGCTCTGATCCCAGCAGCTCCACCAAGTTGTCGTTAATTCTGTCCCCAGAGCTGCCACAGAAGACCCCGCTGACCCCTTGCTTCCCTGCCCGATCGGAGCATGATAAGGCCAGTGATAGTGTCAGGTCCATCTCCATGGAGTGAGAGCTCTGGATCCAGGTTGCTGGCAGGGTTGGTGCAGCTCAGCCCAACCTTGACCCATTGCATAGCCAGTCCTTCCCCCTCCAACCCTTGGAGCAGGTGGACTGGCCGCTCCCTTCAGTGCAGTTGGCCTGGCATCACAGCTCCCGGCCAGCAGCTGCATGTACTTTACAAAGCACTTGCAGTTCTGTTATGTCCTTCCTGAGCTTCACAGTGAGCCTGTGGGACAGCAGGCATGGTCACCCCAGTTTCCAGTTGGCAAAACTCAGGCTCAGAGACTTGGAGTTACCCCCTACCCCAGGCATTTGGAGTGGTGGGACCAGAGAGAGCCACAGCCCAGGTTATCTGGGAGCTAGAGCCAAAGAGGTGGGGGCTACAGGACCTGGGGTGCCCTTTCTCATTCCCCTGACTCAGCACGGCTGGCAGGGACCCAGTCTGTGCCAGGTAGCCATTCCGGGTCCCAGCCCACTCCCTCCCTTGGCAGATCTGCTTCGACAGTAAACCCCGGATCATCAGCAAAGGCACCAAGGACTCTCCGTCTGTCTGCTCCAACCTGGCTGCCAAGCACAGCTTCTATAACAACAAGTGAGTGGGACCCACAGCCTGGGCCTGGGAGCAGGGGTACACAGAGAGCTGGGGTGGTTCAGATGCCTGGGGAGCAAATGAAGCCAGAGGGTGTACCTGGGGTGTCAAGCTGAGGGGCAGAATTTAGGGCTCAGATCCAGCATCCACCTGGAACAGATGAAACCAACAGATGAGATCTGTATTCCAGGCATTCTCTCGGTATTTTAATGATCTCCTTGCTCCTGGAAGGGAGGAGTTACAGTCTCTTTTGTACTGACGAGGCTTGGAAGTAGCTCACTCAACGTGGGAGGCCACATCTCTGACTCCCATCTGGTGCCCTCCACTGTCAGTACGTTGGCATCAGACAAGTGGGAGGATCTGGGTCAGGCCTGGCACCACCTTCACTCCCTGTGACTCCCCTTGGCTCTGCCCCAGCATGGATGATAGAGCCCCGGCGTCCTGTGTCCAAATCCCAGCCTGATCAATGCTATAGCCTTTGGTTTCCCTGTCTGTAAAGTTGATGGTGATCCCAATCTCCTAGGGTTGCCGTGAGCATAATTAAAATTCCTGGTCCCTGGGCAGCCCAGGTGGCTCAACGGTTTAGCGCCACCTTAAGCCCAGGGCCTGATCCTGGAGACCCAGGATTGAGTCCCATGTCAGGCTCCCAGCATGGAGCCTGCTTCTTCCTCTGCTTGTGTCTCTCTGCCTCTCTCTCTCTCTCTCTCTCTGTCTCTCATGGATGAATAAATAAAATCTTTAAAAATAATAATAACAGGGGCAGCCCCAGTGGCTCAGCGGTTTAGCACCACCTTCAGCCCAGGGCCTGATCCTGGAGACCCAAGATCTAGTCCCACATCCGGCTCCCTGCATGGAGCCTGCTTCTCTCTCTGCCTGTGTCTCTGCCTCTCTCTCTCTGTCTGTAATAAATACATAAAATCTTAAAAATAATAATAATAAAATAAAATAAAATTTCTGGCCCATAAATCTAATAAATTTGATTTGCATTTTTTAAAAAGATTTTATATATTTATTCATGAGAGATGCACAGAGAGAGAGAGGCAGAGACATAGGCAGAGGGAGAAGAGGACTCCCCCCAAGGAGCCTGATATGGGACTTGATCCCAGGACTCTGGGATCACGACCTGAGCTGAAGGCAAACACTCAATCGCTGAGCCACCCAGGCATCCCATGATTTGCATTTTTATCTTAACTACCAGGCCATTCCTTCTGTAGCTCAGGAGAGCACCCTTTCACCCCAGCGGCTCAAAATATATTGTAATCTTTGTGCTCTCACTGCCATATTTTCCTTACTATCCCCCAAATTTACCTGGATTTAAGAATTATAGTTTGGGGCCTTTTTTTTAAAGATTTATTTATTTATTTGAGAGAGAAAGTGGGGGGGGGGGCATGAGAGAGCGGCAGAAGGAGAGGGAGATAATCTCAAGCAGACTCCATGCTGAGCATGGGGCACCACATGGGGCTCAATCCCACGACCCCAAGATCACAACCTGCAGCATTGTTTGATTATGAAATAAAAACTAAAGACCAGCAACAAAAAATAATAAAATAAAATGCAATTCCTGTCCCAGAAGAGGTGCTTGATTATGGTTTCTCTGGATGCAGGAGCAGCTCTGGTGCGTCAAGCTGGGAGGGAACCTGCGCCCCTTCCCTGTGCCCCTTCCCTGCACCCCCCCACCCCGGTGCTCCCTTCTCCCAGCCTCATAGCAGGTGACATCTGTGTCCTTCTCCTGGCAGCTCCCCCTTTGAGCTGACCCAGGATTGAGGCCAGAGGAGGACATACAGCTGGGACTGCCTGGGTATAGGACTCCCACCTCTTGCCTCCTGTGCTCTCATGATCTAGAAGCGTCACTTCCATAAGGGCAGGAACACCCAGAGAGGAGCCCCTCCCCTCAGGCTCGCCCAGGCTCAGGGAGAGTAGTCCTGCCGGGAATGGTGGGGGAGGGCAGGGGGGGTGCTGCAGACTGCATCGTGCCCCCCGCCCTCTGCCTACCAGGTGCCTGGTGCACATCGTCCGCTCCACCTCCCTCAAGTATTCCAAGATCCGCCAGTTCCAGGAGCATTTCCAGTTCGACGTGTGCCGCCACGAGGTGCGCTATGGCTGCCTGCGGGAAGACAGCTGCCACTTTGCCCACAGCTTCATCGAGCTCAAAGTGTGGCTGCTGCAGCAGTACTCAGGTGAGGGAGCTGGGCAGGGGCAGGCGGAGGGGAGGCGTGGGACCTGCTGAGGGTGGATGGGCCAGCCCGCAGCAGGTGGCAGAGGGGGCCTGAAGGAGTTCAGAGGGGCGTTGGCTTGATGGGAGACGTGCCTCTGCAGGAGCCGGTGCCCCTTACATCACAGAGGACACAAAGGCTCTGCTCTCTAGAAGCTTCCAGGCCCTGCTCTTGGGGAGCTTCCAGGTTTGAAAGATCCTGGGTTTATCCCTATCCGGGCACTGCCAGCAGAACACAGGTGGAAGAGGAAGAAGGGGCAGAGCCAGGCTGCCTGGTTGGTCATCAGCAGGTCACTTCCCCTTGCTGAGCCTCCCCTTGCCCATCTGTGAACTGGTGACCATAATCTCCATCTCAGCTGAGGAGATTAAAAGCTATTCGCTTACTCATTCATCTGATAGTGTGATGAGTGTACCTGCTGTGTGTCGGGCCTGAGCAAGGACCCCTTGAGGTCCTGGTTCTCCGAGAACATCTGATATCTGTAAGCAAAGGCAAGACAGCGTAATAAGTACATAGAAAATCCTGCGTTCCATCTGGTCTAGGACGCACGTTCCCCCCACTGTGTATTGTAATGTAATTTAGCAGCATTGTTTTGGGTGTAACATAAAATAACGGTGCATCTAACAATTGACGTCTTCTTCTTATGGTTGATGAAATAGGGTTGTGTGATTTCAGACGTGCTCAGTGCTGAGAGGAAAGTAACGCAGAGGGAGAGGGGCTCAGGCTGGGGCATCTGGGATAAGATGGTTGGGGAAGGTCTCTGTGAGGAGGTGGTATTTGAGCAAGAAAGGGTAGGGAGAGGGCCGCCCTGGTGGCGCAGCGGTTTAGCGCCGCCTGCAGCCCAGGGTGTGATCCTGGAGACGCTGGATCGAGTCCCACGTCAGGCTCTCTGCCTGGAGCCTGCTTCTCCCTCTGCCTGTATCTCCGCCCTTCTCTCTCTCTGTATCTCTATGAATAAATAAATAAAATCTTAAAAAAAAAAAAAAAGAAAGAAAGGGTAGGGAGAGAGTGCCAGGAGAGGGAAGAGCAAGGCTGGAGGCCCTGAGGCGGGAGCCAGCTTGGTACAGAAATGCTGTTTGTGAGAGTGGAGCACCTTAGTGCATGGGGGGAGGGGGGCCTGAGGTTGGTAGGGACCTGAGTGTGTGGAAGTCTCTAGGTTGTACATAGAGTCAGGATTGTTCTCAATATGATGTGCAGGGTGTGGAGGGTTTAAGTGGGTAGAGGTATATGTGATATGATCAATATTTTTTATTTATTTAATTTTAATTTATTTATTTGAGAGAGAGAACACAGTAGGGGAAAGGGCAGAGGCAGAGGGAGAAGCAGGTTCCCCATTGCGCAGGCATCCCAATACAGGGCTCAATCCCAGGACCCCAGGATCATGACCTGAGGCAAACGCAGATGCCTAATCAACTGAGCCACCCAGGTGCCCTGATCAATATTTTTTTAAAAGTCGCCCTGGCCACTGGGTGGAGGATAGAGGGGTAAGGGCGGACAGTGGGGAAACCAGGGAAGGTGTGGCTCAGGCCGGCTAACAGTGGCAGGGGTGGAAGGAGTGATCAGATTCTGGGGATATCTTGATGGTGGAGCCAACAGGAGTTGTTGATGGACCAGGTATGAAGTATGAGACAAAGGATGGCATAAGGTCAACTGCAAGGGTTTTGAGCAGAGTAACTGGAAGGATGGGGTTGCTATGTTCTCAGCAGGGGAGGCTGTAGGAGGAGCAGGTTTGGGGAGTCCTGTCAGGGTTCACTGTGGGATGTGAGAGGTTTGAGCTTCCTCTTGGACTTCAAGTAGAGATAGTGAGCAGGCAGGTGGATGTGGAAGTCTGGAAGTTCACAGGAGACGTCTGAGCTGGAGAGATCTATTTAGGAATCACTAGGAAGAAGATGGGTGTCAAGCACAGTACCTGGCCTAGAGGAACTCCCCAGTGACACATGGTCACCATGGAGCAGCATCCATAGAACAGGATCAAAAGGAAATCAGTCTAGAAAGGGACTGGAGGAGATGGAAGGAAGGCACACTTCATAAAAAGTTCTCCAAACTTTACCTCAGAGGGTGGGTTTAGTAGTCAGCAGTCAAATTGGGAAGGTCTGGGTCACAGCGTTTGGGTGGCTGCCCCTTTGCTCACTCACAGTGAAGAGCAGCAGCCCCTCAGTGAGCTAGTGAGCCGGCCTGGGCCAAACATGAAGCCCTAACAACCAGTGGACTAGAGGCCACCAAGCAGAAGTCAGGCCTGAGACCCCCACTGAGGGGGGTGGGTGTCAAAGAAGGGTGCTGAGCAGCAGACCCAAGAGACTGGCATGAAGGCAGTCACCATGCCATGCTGCAGAGCCAACATCTTTCTCCTGCATTTTCCCACTCTTAGCTGCATTTGATTCTCCTGCTCCCTGTGAGGGCTTGGAGCAGGTTCTTCTTTTATTTGTTTTATTAAGATTTTATTTATTTATTTGAGAGAGAAAGAGACAGAGAGAGCAACAGAGAGCATAAGTAGGGAGCAGAGGGAGCAGCAGGCTCCCCACTGAGCAGAGAGCCTGATGTGGGGTTCAATCCCAGGACCCCAGGATCATGACCTGAGCTGAAGGCAGCAGCTTAACCAACTAAGCCATCCAGGTGCCCCGAGGTCCTTCCTTCTGTTTTTGTTTTTGTTTTTAAAGATTTTGTCAATTCATGAGACACACACAGAAAGAGAGGCATAGACACAGGCAGAGGGAGAAGCAGGCTCCATGCAAGGAGCCCAACATGGGACTCGATCCCGGGTCTCCAGGATCACGCCCTGGGCTGAAGGCAGGCGCTAAATCACTGAGCCACCCGAGATGCCCGAGGTCCTTCATTCTTAATGCAGATTAAGAGGCCCAGAGAGGATGAGTGCTTTCTCTGCTGCCCATGTGTTTGTGTGGCAGGGCCTAGCTGGGGGCTGGGGCTCCTTCGCATGGGCCTGGGTGGCCCTTGCAGATCCCCTGCCTTTCTCTTTGCTACTCTCCTTCACATACGCCGTGTCTGGTCCCACCCTCCACAGGCATGACCCACGAAGACATCGTCCAGGAATCCAAGAAGTACTGGCAGCAGATGGAGGCCCATGCAGGGAAGGCCAGCAGCAGCTTGGTGAGGCCCTGGATTGGCATTGGGGGTAGGACCCAGGACCCTGAGGGCCATTCCCCATCCCTTTAATTGAACGTAATTTCAGACTTAGCAGAAAATTACCAGAATACTACAAAGAATTTGTGTATTCTCATTTCTGGATTCCCCAGATAGTAACCATTTTACCACATTCCACACTCACTTTGTCCTGTGTGTGTGTGTGTGTGTGTGTGTGTCCACACATAGACATATATATACAATTATATACATACTTTCTCCAGAACCATTTGAGAATAAGTGGTAGACATGATGCCTCATCACCCCTAAATCCTTTGGTGTCTATTTCCTAAAAATAAGGACACTGTCTTACATAATAACCACAGGACAGTTGTCAGCATCACAGAACTAACATTGCTATAATTTTTCAGATGATGTCCTATTATTCAGATTTTGTGAATCGTCCCCAAATCCCAAGTGACACTGTATTTATTTGTTGTGTCTCTATAGTCTCTCTCTCTCTCTCTCTCTCTCTTTAGGGATTTTATTTATTTATTTGAGAGAGAGGGAAAGCATGAGTGGAGGGAAGGGCAGAGGGAGAGGGAGAAGCAGGCTCCCTGCTAAGCAGGAGCCCGACACAGGGCTCAACCCCAGGACCCCAGGATCATGACTTGAGCCGAAGGGAGACACTTCACCAACTGAGCCACCCAGGGGCCCCTGTCTAGTCTCTTTGGATCTAGAGCAGTCCCCTGGTCTTTTTTGTCTTACATGATACTGATGGTTTTGAAGAGCCGCTATCTTGTATAAGGCTCATCCATTTGGGATTGTCTGGTTCCTCAAACCCCAGAGGTGATGTTATTATGCTCGCCTCAGTTCACTCATCAGGAGCACATCATCTCTGTGTGTCACTTTACTGGTAATCACTTGATTAAAGGTGCCTCCAAGGTAAAGGTTTCTCTACCTTGAAGTTATGTTTTTCCCCCTTTGTAATAAAAAGTATCTTCTGGGGAGGGTCCTTGAGACTGTGTAAATATTCCTTCCCATGGATCGTACCATTCCCATCCATCCCAATCCTCATCCTGTTCCTGAAGAAGTGAGCTGTGGCACTGTGGCATTTGCAGATGGGGAAACTGAGTCTCAGAGCATGCTAGAGACTAACCCAGGGGCACACTTAGTGGAATAAATGCCTGGTTCTCTGACATCTTATCCAGAGCTTGCTCTGCTCCCCACCCCCAACCAGCACCATTCCCACCACCAGAGGATTCCCCACCCATAAAATGGGGATCATAATCTTGCCTGCCATCTCCAGGGTGGCTGTGAGGGTCATAGAACCTGACCAAGCTGCAGCTTGCAGAGTCCCTGCTCCACACTGGGCCCCATGCCATCCTCAATCCTCATATCCTCCCCAAGAGGTAGGGACTGTTTTAACCGTGGATGACAGCGGGAAAAGAAAGGGTGGTCTCAGGCCCAAAAGATAGTGTGAGGTGAGCCCCCCTATGCCATCCACACATAAGGGATGACCCCCCCCCCCTCGCCAGGCCAAACCCACCCACCAGTCACTTTGGGAGAAGGCTAGGCCCCTGGCCCCTCCTGAGTGGGTGTGGCAGTGAGCCAGGGGGCAGGGCAGGCTGCCCCACAGGGCTGCCTGGTTCCTTTGGGACTTGCCCTTCTCTCTGGTCCATCATTCTGGTCCTTTTTCTTTCTCTCCCCGCTTCCTGGGTTGTCCTCCTTCTCTGTCCCTCCCTGTACTGTCCTCTTTTCCCTACCCCCTCTCTGCCATGTGGTTTGTTTTTTGTTCCTGGCCAGGATCCTGGCTGGAAAGCAGTGAGGGGCTTGGGTTGGACCTGCAGTGTTATCTTCTAAGAGAACTCTGAGTCTTCACCACCTCCTACCCCTTCTTCCTCCTCAGGGCTGCTGCCAGGGTCCCCAGGAACAGGGGCAGGCCTAGCTGCCCAAGGGTGCCATGAGAGGCTTCAACCCCCTTTTGCTGCCAGGGGCCCCACCCAGCCCACCCAAGTTGCCACTCTTGGGCCTGGGTGGGGAACAGGGCTTCTGTGCCAGGCCTGGCCACAACCAGGGCATGAGGCGTCTTGCTTGCTTGCCACCAGAGGGCGGAGTCAGCAGCACTTGAGGCCAAGGATGAGATGCCAGGGGAGAAGCTGCTCGGGCCCAGTGCCCACGGCACCGCAGCTATGCCATCCCACAACAAAGCTCCTGCCTTTCACCAGGATCCTGTCCTCAGACCACTTACCCGTGGGTGGATTAGTAACCTCTGTGAGCCTCTGCTTCTGTTCAGTCCTACCCGACCCCAGGGCTACAGCGAGGAGTTGGTGAGGCTGTACAGTTGTAGAAAGGGAAGCTCAGTGACCTGGCATGGCTGTTCGTTAGAGTAGCCCCCCCCCCCGCCCCCGCAATTCCCTCACCTGTGAAATGGTCCCCTCAGGCTTCTGTGAGAATCCAGTGGGACACCTAGAGATCAGTAGTGATGTGGAGAACCTCCTGCCTGCTCCAGCACAGGCCATGCCCTAGTTACAAAGCTCTGCTTTTACCTTGTTACCGAGGTGACATGGGGGTTATCCTGGGGCTGAGCCAGGCTGCAAGTCGTCCAGTACCCGGCCAAGGGTCAGTCAACACACGTGGACAGAACCCCTTCCTGCTCAAGGACAGGCCCTGAGCGAGGTAGTGCCAGGCACACAGGGTACTCCCACAGTAGAGAACATGTACCCTCTTCTAGCCTGGGGGAGAGAGAGCAGCCTGGAGGGGGGACCCCACATCTGAGGCTCCAGAGAGGACAGAGAGGCTCTAGGTAATGGGACAGTCAGTAATTTAGTCAACGTAGTTGGAGGAGGAGGTTGAAAGTGGCAGAAGACAAGGCTGCGTGGGCATCTCCCCCACTTTCACCGCCCCCTCCCATCCCAAGGGTGCCAAAGAACAGGCCCCCCTGCCTTCAAAGGAAAGGCTAGAGCAGAGCATGAGGATGAAGTCCAGGGCCACCCAGGCAGGCTCCTGTGCAAGTAGCTTCCCACCTGGGCCCTGCTGCCTGCCAGGCCAGCCCTCCTAGCTGGAGGAGTTGATCAACATGAGTCAGGTACTGTGGGAGCTCCTAGGATGGGTGGCTGCCACTTAGAAGAACTCCAGGGAATGCTTCCTAAAGGAGGTGGTACTCGAGCTGAGTTTTGAAAGTTTCCAGAACCAGCTTGACCAAGTCCAGAGGAAGGGCATTCCAGGCAGAGGGAACAGCATGTGCAAAAGCAGGCCATGCTCAGGGAAATGCCAGCAGCTCCAAAGAGCAGACCCATGGGGACCAGCCAGAGAAGGCAGAGAATATTCGATCGGGAATCAGAAGCCCCGTCCCAGGCCTGGTTCCCACACTGAGAGGCCAGGGGACCTAGAGTGGGGAGGTTACTTCCCTCTGGGAAGTGGTGATGGGCCGGCTCATTCTAAGGCCCTGAGTGGCCCTAACACTCCTGGAGGCCACCTGTGTAACAGACTCCAGGCCTCCGCCCTGATGCCTTTGGATTCACCGATGCCCTTCCCCCAACAGGGCGCCCCTCGGACACATGGGCCCAGCACCTTCGACCTGCAGATGAAGTTTGTGTGTGGCCAGTGCTGGAGGAATGGGCAGGTGGTAGAGCCTGACAAAGATCTCAAGTACTGTAGCGCCAAGGCCCGGCACTGGTGAGCCAGGCGCCCAGCAGGGGCTTTGGCAGGGTGGGGCCCACCCGAGCACCATGGGTAAGGAGGCTGGGGCTCTGCACTGGGCTCTCCCCAAAAAGCACCCGTCTGTCCTACAGTTGGACCAAGGAGCGGCGGGTCCTTCTGGTGATGTCAAAGGCCAAGAGGAAATGGGTGTCGGTGAGGCCACTGCCATCCATTCGCAACTTCCCACAGCAATACGATGTGAGCGCCAGGAATGGGGTGCAGGGTGGTGGTAGGAACTCAGGTGTGGGGGCAGAGGGGCCTTGGGAGGGCTTGCCTGCTGGTTGGAGCTGTCGCATAATCCAACGGACTCAGCAGGCTCACCCCACACCCACCCTGCAGCTCTGCATCCATGCGCAGAATGGCCGCAAGTGCCAGTACGTGGGGAACTGCTCCTTTGCACACAGCCCAGAGGAGAGGGACATGTGGACATTCATGAAGGAGAATAAGAGTGAGTGGGAAGACCAGGCAGGATGGGGGCCTGGCCCAGGGTCCCCTCATTGCCAGATACCCCAACTCATCAGCAGGCTCAAGAATACCTGCTCTCTCCCTTTGCCACCCAGGCCCTCCTCCTGCCACCCCTGGCCCTACCCTCTCTGCATTTTCCATTGTTGACCAGGCAGCCCGACAGCAAAGCCTGCGGTGCCCCCAGCTCCCACATCCGGGGGTGGGGGGGGCGGCGGATCATGGGGCAGAACGGATGGAGAATCCTGTCCCACCAAGCACCCTGTCCTCTCCTTCCCACCAGTCCTGGACATGCAGCAGACCTATGACATGTGGTTGAAGAAACACAACCCAGGGAAGCCAGGGGAAGGGACCCCGATCAGTTCTCGGGAAGGGGAGAAGCAGATCCAGATGCCCACGGACTACGCCGACATCATGGTAACGGCCTCACCCATGTTCGGGCCAGCCCCCAAGCCTGATCTGGTTGGGCGTTGGGGTGGGCTCAGCCACCCTGGGGGGATCGGTCTGGGCAAAAGTGTGAGGAATGGGCACCCACGGCGGCTGTGCCCCCCACCAGATGGGCTACCACTGCTGGCTCTGCGGCAAAAACAGCAACAGTAAGAAGCAGTGGCAGCAGCACATCCAGTCCGAGAAGCACAAAGAGAAGGTCTTCACTTCCGACAGCGACGCCAGTGGCTGGGCCTACCGCTTCCCCATGGGCGAGTTCCGGCTCTGCGACAGGTGCTCCCAGGGAGGGCAGGGCCGTGGGTGGGCATGGCGGGCCTGGTGGGCTGCAGGGTGGGCCTGAGAGAGCCCGTGGCCAGCCCCCATGCCCCTTGTCCTAGAGATGGCGTGCAGAGGGTGGTGTCCCAGAGCAGCTGCTCGTGGATGTGAGGAGCGTGGGGCTGGGGTGGGGTGGGATGCTGCCTGGGGCTCAGAACCGCCAGGCCCCCACCTGCAGCCCTGGGTCAGGTCCTAGAGGAGGCTGGGCCCGAGGCTGTCCAGGGAGAGGCTTGTCTTGGGGAAAGCCAAGTAGCCAGCCCGGGGTCTGCAGCCCGTGGTGGAAAGGGCGCGGGGCGTGGGCAGTGAGCCTTCTGCTGCCCACAGGCTCCAGAAGGGCAAGGCCTGCCCAGATGGGGACAAGTGCCGCTGCGCTCACGGGCAGGAGGAGCTCACCGAGTGGCTGGACCGGCGCGAGGTGCTGAAGCAGAAGCTGGCCAAGGCCCGCAAGGATATGCTTCTGTGCCCCCGGGATGACGACTTTGGCAAATACAACTTCCTGCTGCAAGAGGACGGGAACACTGCCGGTGCCGCTCCAGAAGCCCCTGTTGCCGCTGCTGTCACTGGGGAGTAGGGCCTGCTCTGGGCCTCGGGTGAAGTCCTAGGGTCAGGGGCGGGGGTGGGGACAGAGGGCCTGATAGGAGGGCCAGGGCAGGGGTGGGGGGCCGCCCTCCTCAGGCAGCCCCTAGCCCCTTCCGGGGCCCCCTCCATCCTCTCTGCCCCCACCACCTGTTGCAGACCCAGGGCCACATGCTGCAGCCCTAAGCGGTCCCAGGGTCCTCATCCTGCCAGAACCCCAGGCAGATGCCCCCACCCCCTGGGCTCCCCTGGTTGGGGAGGGAGGGGCCTGGCCCACCCCTCCAGCCTCAGCCTACAGCTTTAACTTCTGTCTGCTCCTAAAGGGGGCCCAAAGCTCAGGGCTGGGGAGCCTGGGGTCCCCACTTGAATCTGCAGCAGGAGGGTCCTCCCTGCCCTACCCTCACCCCATCCCCACCTCCCCTGGGGGCAGATCAGGACACCACAGAGGGCTGGAGGCCCCAATTAGCTTTAAATGCCACCCCAGGATGGAGCCAGGAACACAATATTGGTCGCTTGCCCTCCAGGGCCTCAGTTTCCCCTCTGGTTGGAAGAGTGGGTGGGGCTGGGCTAGATGATCTCTGGAGCCTTTCCAGCCAGGCCACCGGCCCGACCCTCCTCTTCGTGGGCCACTGAATGTAGACTAGGTCCTCAGAGTCCCTGGAGATGATTCGGCCCAGACCCCCTCATTGCAGAGAGGGAGACAAAGGCTGGGCAGGGATGGGTGACCTGCCCAGGGTCTCCAGGCCACGGAACGAGGTAGAGCCAGGAGAGGGCCAGTTGTCTGCTGGAGCCTCCAGGCTCTTGGCAGGGACAGGACCGTCTCTGAATCAGTGTGCCATGGGTGTCCCAGGCAGTGCCACCTCTGGGCTGAGGAAGGGAGGTCATGTCCGCACTCTGCAGAGGGACCGTCCCCTCCTGAGTATGGTTGTGGGGAGTGTGGCAGCATGACGCCCACTTGGGCCGTGGTAATGGGCAGGGTGCCCGTGGGCTCAGCTTCCACGTGATGTACTGGGAGGAAGGGGAGGGGTGGGGTCAGGAATGTGGAGAGAAGGGAGGTGACACTGGGCAGCAGGGGCCAGTTGGGGATCATACCCAGCCCCTTTTTCCTGGGGACCCAGCATGGCCCTCTCCCCCTTCTCCTCAGACCTAGACATACAGTTGCGTCCTAGCCCTCCCTGATTCCTGGCCTTGCCGGCTGCCTGGGACCCCAGCTGACCCCCAGCCCCTGCCCCCAGCCACCAAGCCCTGTCCCATCCCTGTCCCCACCCTCTCGTCTGCCCGTCTGCGTGTACCCCCTCCTCTCCATCCCACCCCCCGACCCATGGGCAGACCCAGCCTCCCCCAGTTCCTGAGACATTCCAGAATGTCCCACACTGTGGGCCCTCCCCCCGGGAGGAACCGGGGGCCACAGCTGGAGTCAGGGGTGGGGGTGAGACGGAGAGAATGGAATCCCCCTCATTTCTCCTCAAGCAAGGATCGATAGCGAGCAATGATGTGATTATGGGCACCCCGGGCGCAGAGAACGTTGTTCCTCTTGCTGTCACTGCCCAGCCCTCCCCAGTAACCGTGGCATGCACCCTTCCCTCTCCCTGTACCCCCCCTCGCCCCTGCCCCCAGCAGGCCAGCACCACAGAATCCCTCCCGGCGCTGGTGGCATGACTGGAGGGGAGGAGAGACCACACGCAAGGTGGGGGCCATGGCTGTGAATGTCGATGACACTTGTTTTCCCTGATCCGTGATGTTGCAGTCTGTCGTCACCAGCCTCGTTTTTAGTGTGTATATATGTCGCCCCCGTGATGCATATATACACAGGTATTAAATATATCGCTCTATATAATATTATATATGTGTGTGGTATCCAAGGAATCACTTCTAATGAGGGCTAAAGATAAAGAATTTGGCCAGAAAATGCAGCCATCCTGGTGTAATTAAGAGGGATTTTTCAGATTTGGGGGCCTTGGAGCCATGGGTTGGAGGTGGTTTGGCAGCAGGGGCAAGAGTGGCCCTGCCCAGGCCCAGTTTCCAGACCACTCCAGCCTTGCTGGGAGAGAGCAGTGGTGCTCCAGCCAAGAAAATGATTGGTGTGTGTCTCCCGCCCCAGAGAATAGGATCAGAGTCTATCTAGATTTTTCTTTTTCAACCTGTTCTCCATCCAGGAGCCCTTGGGATCTGGGGCTCCCCAGCCTGGCTAGAGCTGGATTCTCCCCCCAGGGTTGGGAAGAGAGCAAAGAGGCAGGGGGCGGAGGAGCAGGAGTACACTTTGAATGTTGAGGGTGATCATTTCAGTGGTGACCCCAACTGGGAGGCTTGGAGAGTTGACTCAGGGGCCTGTGCCCACTGCCAGCAGGCAGAGACAAGACTTCGGACAGGTGCCCCCGATGTGAGTGTCCCTTTTGGGGAAGGGGAAGGAGGGATGCTGCATTTCTCAGCTGGGCAGTAATCAATTTAATGGTCCTTTTAAAATGTCTGTGTATTAAAAATTTAAGAATACCACACTTTAATATTAAATATTCATAAGGTCTAGTATCTTGATAATAATGTAGATGTTTTAATAACAATTTTTGTCCTTCTTAAAATAAAATGAAAGAAACTTGATTCTTTTAGCCTTTGTTCTAGAAAATAAACGTGTGCACTTTGACCTCTTTCCCCAAGGTGTCACTCCTGTTCCGAGCTGCCTGGCACTTGCGTCTGGAGGCCTGGGCGGCTCTGTGCATGTGGGGCAGAGCTGCCTGGTGTGGGGCATGCCTCAAGGCGGACATTCCGCGGGCTGAGGGGCAAAAGGTCTGTGTCCCTGTGTAAACAGGGCAACCTAGCTGACCCCAGCTCAGGCATGCAGCACCTGGGCTGGCAGGGACAAGCTGTGCTGTGTACAAGTGGCCCCAGCAGCCACCCTTCACCCTCCTGCAGCCTGCCTCCGCGTGGGGCTGTCCAGAGGTACCCACGCCTCCCTGCCTTTATCAAGGGCACCATCCTGAGTTCCAGATGGCTGGCTCTGTGCCCTTTCTGGGTGTGGCTTTTCCAGGAAAGTGAGGGTCTGTGTCATGCTTTGAAATTGGATTCTTTTTTTTTTTTTTTAAGATTTTATTTATTTATTCATGAGAGACACACAGAGAGAGGCAGAGACACAGGCAGAGGGAGAAGCAGGCTCCCTGAAGGGAGCCTGATGCGGGACTCGATCCCAGGTCTCCAGGATCATGCCCTGAGCTGAAGGCAGGCACTAAACTGCTGAGCCAGCCAGGTGTCCCGTGGATTCTGACTGCAACCCAGACTCCTCTGGGCCCATATTTCTCATCTTGAAAAGGAGAGGGCAAATTGGATTGCCAATTCTCAGTCGGGGAAGCCCGTATCTGCTGGGCTGATAAACTTTTCCAGATCTCTTGGGTTGTGCATGTTGCAGGTGATGGAGGGGAATCCTGATGGGAGGGGCTGCATGTGCTCAAGAGCATGCTCTCACCAGACCACTTGCAACTGCAGGAACAGGGGTCCAAGGCCGATGAATTCTCCAAGGGTGAATCATTTGGGCCAGATATGCATAGGGGCTCAGGTCCTTGATAAATGACCAGATGAGCAAGGTTAACCACCAACTTGACTGAGCACCTTCTGTGCACCAGGCCCGGGATGTGGCATGTCTGTTCTCTACAACAACCCTGCACGTTTGATGTCCACATCTTACAGATGTTCAGCAAGGGTTCCAAGGATCCTCAGGAAGGAAACAGGAAAATGAGAACCACTGGGAACTGAGTGATGATCGGCAGAGGTCCCTTCAGCACTGATGTTCTGTGGGGTTCTCAGCACCACTGGCAGTACCGTGAAAAGCCAAACCAGCATGGCAAGCAAGGTACAACTCCGAAAAGAAAAAAGCAGACCCGTCCTCAGGCTGGAGAGATCATGAACCTGCACCTGGACCCCCCCCCCCCCTGAACTCAGAAAAATCAAAGAAAGTAAGATATGCTGAACCTTGATGCAGCTGGGGGATGAAATTCTTCAATTCTCGACATTCCCCCGAGTTCTCTTCTGGTCCTCCTTTAGCTGAGATGATCAGTTGGTAAACAGTCACTGAGCATCCATTCCATCTCAGGTCCTGGGAACACAGTTACTGAAGAAATGTGGCTTCCCTTGAGCCCACAGTCTGCCAGGGGATACAGACCTATGTGGGAGAATGTAGGAAGGCAGGACAGGCACAGCTCCAGGTGCCAGATCAGGGAGGGCTTCCTGGAGGAGGCAGAGCTGGAACAGAAGCTGACGAAGATGGTTGTATCACTATCCTCTATGCACACTTACTGTCCTGCACCTTTCTTTTTCTCTCAGTTGTATTTTGTGTGTGCATCTCCAAGCCCCGATGTAAGCTAGGTATTTATGATCAGTGGCTGACAGTTTATCCATCAAGGAGCCAGAGCTGGCTTGAGCAGCCTCTAGTTACTGAACACAGGTCCATTTCTGGTCTTCATGCCTGTGGGAAAGGGCCACAGTAGGCACCACCACCACCATGGAGCCCCAGCAGGCTCCTCCTCCCTACCTCTGGGGAAGCTGCTGCTAAGGAAAGGCCAACTGGGCAGGGAGGGTGGCTGCCAGAGACCTGCAGGGGGACTCTGCACCTCTCCAAAGAAAGCCCTTGAGGTGGTGGCCAGAAACTGTGCCCACTATTACCCCCTTGCCAGGGGGGCCATCCCCAGCAGGCATCAGACCTCTGAGTCAGGAAACCCAAGGAGCACAGACAATCCCAACATTCCCACCTTGAGGTCCCTTCCAAATGTCTCCAGGTTCCTCTGCGGCCTCCTCTCTCCCTGTCTCTCTCTTCTCCAGCCACTCAACCCAGCAACCCACTGAAGTAACCCCTGTGTGACCATAGGTGATGCTGCCAACTGGACGCGCTGGGGGCAGAGTAGGGGTGCCACGTGGACTGACTTGCAGTGGCATGAAAATCCCCTAAAGGGGGGGAACCTGCCTGGCCGGGTTTGTTACTTAACTTTGAATCCCTCACAAGGTCTAGGCTGGTGCCAGGTATGCAGTAAGCACACATGGTCTTAGATGCTTAGTACCTTTGTACAAGGAAAGGGTTCTACAGAGAGTTCATGGGAACAGATTTCCGAGGATGAAGTGTCATTCAGCAGGTGGGTATTGTTGAGACACGTAGGACATTTCCTGTTGCCCCTGGAATCCTGCTCCTTGCACCTACCCACTCCACCTTTGTGGTAAGCCAGTCTAGCACAAGAGTGGGTTTTCGAGCCAAGGAGCAGTTCAGTCAGCCCCAGCCTGCAAATCCCAGGTCAGCTTGAGGCAGCCAGCCCACCAGGCCCACCTCACTCTCACCATCCAGCATCTCAGAAGCAAAGGACAGTGGAAGGATAAATAAGAAACTAAACTCATTTACAAGGAAGAGGAATGAGGAGGAAGGACAGGAATAGAAATCCAAAGTGTTGAACTTGGAGCCTGAGACTAATTTTTAATTAATTGGGGAAAAGAGCAGAGTTTGGGGAGAGCTATTAGGGAGGATGGGTGGGCAATTAAAGGACAGGCTGAGGGCTGTTGGGGAGGCGAGAGGCCAGAGGGGTTCCTGGAGGGGTTCCTGCTTCTGTACAAAATAGAGTTTGGGAAAGTGGTAAAGAACTGCCTAGAAATCATCTACGGTGCAGGGGAACCAAATGCTTATTGCATCCAATTGGGAGTGTCAGAGACATGGAATGGGCGTCGAAAGGAACTTCAGAGGTACAACACTGAAGAGTCTGGGAACTGAGATCCAGAGGAGCCGTGCAAGCTTGTCCAAGATCCCACATCAGTGTGTGGCAGAATCAAAAGCCCGACCCCCCTACACCCCCACCTCACCTGCCGAGTCTGATGTTGGTCTTTGGTGGAGGCGGACATACGGAACCTTGGCTTTGACCACAAGCTCAAGTGGCCTGGGGACCACAGAGGCCAAAGTCCTGCTGAGAGGGCCAGGGAGCAAACAGCCAGTTGCCACCAAGGTCTCCAGGATGGGCTGGGAGGCAGGACATCACCCAAGACAAGTCTGAGCCGCTCCCTTTCAGTGGTGCTGCTCTGTGGGCCCACCCAGGGCTTGTCTGCTGGGCACCTGCCTCTTCCCCTCCCTGGAAGACCACAGGAATCCCAGGCTGCAGGTTTTCACATGTCTTTTAGGAGAGCAGGCGTCAGGCTCTGCAGATGGCGCAAAGCCCCAGTTAGCCACGCCACACGCAAACCTGTGTGCCTTGCAGGACGCACGGGTGTCAGACTGTGCCAACAACCTCTCGAGGCTCCCAAGCTTGCAGGTGAAGGCGTGATCCCCCTTCCTGTGCCTGTCCGTGCCAACTCAGAGTGCGACCTTCGTGCTGTGCTGCCCGGAGCGCCAGGGTCTCCGGTCCCAGGCCACACTGATTTCCATGGCCGGCCCTGCCCTCTGTGGCACTTGGCCACCAGGGCCCCTCGGCCGAGCGCGCCTGGGTGTGCGGCGCATGCTGGCTGTGGGCGGGGAGCCATCTCCCTGTCTCACCTGGCAGGCCTGGTTATGGCTCCCAGCCTGGGGGAGAACTTCCCTTTGCAAAGTTAGATAACAGGCCGGGCTCTGTCAGAGGATTGGCGCGGTGGCTCCACGTGCTGCGGCTGGCGCAGGGCCAGGCCCGCCCTGCCAGGCAGCGGGAAGGGAAGGCCTGGCTGCAGCCGGAGCTGGCGGGCGGCCGAGCCGGGGGTGGACGGGTGGGCCGGGGCCTCTACTGCCCATTGGCTGCCTCGGGCTCCCGCCCCGCCCGCCTCCAGAGCCTGCGGCTCCCGGGCCAGCTCCTGCCTCTCTAGCTGCTTCTGAACTCCCCGAGAAAGCACCTCCCGCCAGGCCATGTCCATGTCGAGCTGTGACCGGATTGGAGTGGCCCCTGCCATGGACATGCCTGAGGTCCTCAAGTCCCTGCTGGAGCACTCTCTGCCTTGGCCAGAGAAGAGGACAGGTAGGAACGGAGGTGGCCTGGGTTGGCTGGCCGCCCTTGTGCCCGAGGGGTGGGGTCAGTCGCAGGCACGGTGGCGGGACGGGCAGCTCCCCACTGGAGGTCTGCCCTGGGCCCCCTTCTTGGGCAGGAGGAGGGGCTGGGTGCAGAGAGGGAGAGAGTGGGGAGCCCCCACTGCAGCTCAGGGGCTGCCTCCTGGGCCTGTGGGCTCCGGGAGCCCTGGCCAGTGTGCGGCCACTGACAGGTGCTGTGCTCACGTGGGGCATGGGCAGGACCCGCGCGCTGTGCTGGGAGAAGCACTGAACGCCGCCGACTGTGTGTTAAGTTCCCTCCCTCTGTGTGTGGGGGGTGGCGGCAGCTGGTGGAGGCTGTAGATCTGGGCAGTGTCCGGTGTCTGGAGAAAAGGCTTTCCTCCATTCGCCTGCTTCGGCTCCCGCTCGCTGGAGGGCTGAACCCCTGCATGGCATGGAAGCTGTTATGTAACAGGACCACAGGCTCGCAGCCCTGGTTCCTAGGATACACGGGCAAACACGGGGCCCAGGAGCCAGCAGAGGAGGGCGTGGACAGAGGGGCAGCACCAGCAGCCAGCACCAGGTGCCTCCCGAGCCTGCCTGCAGAAAAAAGCCCATGGCTAGATTTGGGGGCCAGCCTGCTCAGAGTACT